ATTCCCACGTGTCAATGTTTATTTTACTGGCATTTTCTGTACTTGGGCGTCCATTCAGTGCATGTCTGTGCCACTTGGGGCCAGTTGACGTAAGATTGTGAAATTGCTCAATCTGATATTTCCAAAACAATTTTTTTTTTTCATTTTGTACGCTTGCGTCACCAGGAATGCTGACGCGAGCGTAGGGAACGAGAGCTCAGAAAAAAAATGCTGTCGCTTCAGAGGTAATCAAGATGTCTAAGAAGTCTATACGCTTGTGATGAATGACTCACTGTGAAGAACTCTCATAATTATATAAACTGCTATGATTTAACACCGAAAAACCACTATATGACAGATGTTGCAGTGGAAAACTTCGAAAATTTCGACCACTTGAGTTTCTTTCACATCCACCTAAATCTAAGCATACGGGCCCCAAGCGTTTTCGCCTCCATTGAAAATACGACCGCCAAGGCCGGTATACGATCCCGCGACTCGTGCGTCTGCATTCGAGCCCCGAAACCACAAGACTGCCGTCGCGGGTCAGTACAGAACTCTCTCAACAATGCACTCACTATGAAGTGCTAAAATATGTAGGATGCATCGCTACCCACGTCGTGCGATTTTCTCATGTTTTACTGTCTTTATACGTTTCACATCTGGCTGCCATGCTGCTCGGTGCGATCAGCAGGTATTCGAGAGATAAGCACTACACGCTCAAGAGAAAAGCGCTACACAGAAAAGAGATAAACACTGCCCATAAAACGCAAATAATGAGTGGTCCATTTTGGATACTTAGGACGACTTCCCGTTTTTGTAGATCATATACCGCTACGACGCGTCTTTTTTTAAAGTTCACCGCGTGGGTTTCCGGTCTCAGGTGCCGCACAGCTGCAGCACTTCCTGCGCAATCGATGCGCTCACTTTCGGAACTGTTGTCTCAAATTACGTTCAATTTTGTGGTTTTCTTGAAAAACGAGCCGGCCATAAGTATTTCCATAAGTATTTCCTCTTCAATATTAACATGGTCCCTCAAGCTAATATTTTAAAATTTAATTACCAGGTTTTGTTACTTACTCATTGAATCGTATTTTCATATGCGGCAATCATTTTCTTACTTTGCCTATAATTTGTTTACCACGAGGACATGCGCCGGACTGTCATAGCATTTCTTGTCTTTTCAATAAATATGTGTTCTCTAAACCTCGCGAAGTATGCGCTGTATGCGCTTATTCGCGCAAAACATGGCACAGTGAGGCACGGACCCATCCCCATTCGTACTCGACGATCTTATCTGATTATTAAAAAAGAGAAGGTAAAAGTAAATCGCGTAACTGTTTGCATCACAGTGCGACACCTCAAGAGTAGCTCACGAGGGATGGGGGTAAGGAGGGATTAAAAGGATAGGATTAAAAGGTATAGAGATAGAGAGGGGGAAGGAGAGAGCGTGGCGCAGGGACAGTGACACCCAGAAGCAAGAAGAAGACAGGAAAGATGAACACGGTCGCAGGAGTCCGAGGACGGGGCAGCGCTCAGCGAGAGCTCTTGTCGGTGTCAGGAGATGGCGTAGGGCGAGCCAGTCGGCCAGAGCTGCGCTCTCGTTGGAGATCGCGGGGGCACAACCGGTCAGCACGTAATCCTTAGAGCGAGTCCAGTCGACGTTGAGCGGCACGTCTAGCTTCGAGATGTCAGGCTTCCTCACCGGGGGCACGCACTTTCTTAGGGCGCCTCATGGCTCCGGCCCCAATGGGGTGCAGCCAGGCTGAACACTGTTGGGCGGAGATGAGCTCGGTGGCCGTCATTTAGCTATGGCGCATAAGTGACTTGGCCAGGTAGTGCAGTATGCGGTCGCTATGCTTGTTTCCTCTGTCTTTTTATTTCATTTTTCAATTTTTTGTGCCCACATAGATAGCATGAAACTGCTATGCGATGTCATGCACAGTGGTCTCCATTGCAGAGCGCGTGCTGTGGTTGCCAGTTGCTATGAACGGGACGGCCAATAATCTGCGGTGATGTTTCCAACACCACTTCTCTCCTTATGATTTGACTTCGCCGTTAGAACCAACAGCCTGTATAACACATGGCGGTGTCTTTTCTCGAATGAGCTTCAAGCACTGGCGTAGCTTTGTGGCTCTGTGTTGGAACACCTGCTTGCCATTGAGAAGGCCGAGATAAAACCAGCTTGAGCCCATGATAATTATCTATTTCATGCATCGTGATTTTCTACGCAGGGCCATGCGCCAATGTTGACGCGAAGCTTCTTATGCCTAGTTCATACTGAAACATCCGCTTTCTACAGCGACCGAACTTCCCCTGCCGCCGAAACGCAGCGTCGTTCGCACTGGACGCGCCCCGCGCCGCCGAATATGCCATCTACTACGGGGCGAACGGGGGATGGATGCGCTGTCACCCGGTTGTTGTCGCGGCTCGCAAACGCTACTACGCTATCCGGTGGTGTATACTTCGACGATTCTCGCACGCAAGAAGCAAGAAAAGACAGTACCGGTTACTTTGCTGGCAAGTGGCTGTCTTGTAATGCACGAAGAGCAGAAAAACCACCGACGCCAGCGGCGTTGGTGGGTTCGCTTTGCTCTGCAAGACCGCAACAAGCTCGGTCACGCCAACAGCAAGCTCGATCACCTCTTTCATGAAATACGGAGGCGAAGTAGGCACAGAGTAGGTTAAACTCCCGTTGGTTTCAACATTCAGTTACGTGCACTGCGGCGTAACAAGTGAGTAGGGCTTGGCCGCCATTTTTCAAAATTCCTTGACTAGCGCTCCTATTGGTCCGCGGTGACCGATTCGGCGGCAGACGCCGCAAAAATCGGTCCTAGAGCGATGGGCGCGGAGAGGACCCTTTCGGCGGATCTCGCCGCCGCCGAACCGGATTCGGAGCACTTTCGGTGGCCGGAATGCTCATTGTGAACGCGGCCTTAGGGTCGAGCAATGTTGGCCGTAGGATGATGATGATCACGATGACGTTCATGATAATAATGAAGTGCGTCCAGACCACACATTACTTTTCTCTCCTAGAGAATGTCGGTCCGTTGGGCCCTAATCTACAGCACGCATGCTGGAAGCATGGAAAGGAGATGACGCGCTTTGGCCGTGCGTGTGTCGAGCGTCAACGTAGCAAGAGCCACAGGGGGCGGGAAACGGCTAACCTATAAGAAGAGAGGTGAAATAAGCCTGAGGAATTTGGGGGGACGGCGTGAGGATGCGATACGGTGATGGTTGGGCTAGCAGCGATGCTTTTCCTCCGTGAGTGCTGCAGAGCAGGGGACACGCCGGATTGGGGTTTCCACTAAGGCGAGTAATTGGCTCATCTTATACTGCGAGTTGCTGGGATTCTTTTAACATGCACCCAATTCTGAGCACATGGGCCTCAAGCATTTTTGCTTCCATCGAAAATGCAGCTGGTGCAGTCGGGATTCCATCCCGCGACCTTCGGGTCAGCAGCCGAGTACCTTTGTTGTACGTGGGTGCTGACCGGGTATGCAAACGGGTATGCAACGAGTATGCAATTCATATGTATGATTATAGAGGAGGACGGATAGTGCTCCGAGGGCGAGTGATTATGAGCTCTGATTTCGGGGTAGCTTGCCTCAAGCCTCTTTTTTCCGCATACTCTGCGAAAGTGTACCGCTTGCTACAGTCAATCCTGGATGGTTCCACCAGAACCCCGTGTCGACCAGGTGCCATCCGCTTTACTAGCTTGGGTGGCATCTGGCATCTGATCGGGTAGTCGGGAGAACTCTGTAAGCGCGATGTTAAATAATATAGGGGAAAGAACTGAGCCTCGTGGTGTCCCACGTTTTGTATAGGGGGATCGTACCTGACCGACGCAGTCCTAGTCCCGCAGGGTACAGACGATTAAAAGAAATGAGGGGATGTAGTTTCACAAAGAGCTCTGCAGGGTGACTATGCAAGATTGCCAAGGATGAGGTCATGTTCAACACTATAACTTAGCCCTTCAGATGTAACACCATGAAGGCTCTCGATTGGGTGAGACACATCCTACAGCGATGGTAATACCCTAAGGAGTGTTCTACATTCGCCGTCTTGGCAAATACGGCGCTGAACACAACACCTGTAGCCGCTCGGCTTCATTGCGAGGTTGCACGTAATCCATCGATGTAACAAAAAGCAACAAAGCTCTTCGAATATTCGCTCTAATTTAATTCATGGTATGCCCCAAATTCCCTAGATTGGTGAACTGCTTCTTATTCTTCAACGAGTGTACGGCGTAGCGGTGTGGGAAGGAGCGTTCACCATGATTACTCGATTTAAGGATTACTCCTGTTTCATTCGACCGTAGAGAAATACTGGCGGAGATCGCATGCTCATGCATATAAATACCCGATAAGTAAACTTGGTTACCACCGCATCAGCTGGAGTATCAATGCCGCATTTCCATCATCACAACCACGTAACAATATATACCTGAGAACCTGCTGTATTCCGAAATGTTTTAACTAGAAAAACTGTTTTATTCCTAGTATATGAGTGTTTCAAGTGAACCGAGGAATACTTTTTACGACCAGCAGTTATTATACCACCATCATTCCACTTGCTGAATGACGCATTTTATTCGCAAAGTTTTCATTCTTGATTCATTCATTCACAGAACCAAATTAACAGGAGTCCTAGAGTCCGGTGTTTTCAGACCAATTTGAGCCACGTCCACATTGGCACTGTCAAGCCGAGCCTTACGGTGCCATCAAGGACCCTCTGGACAGCCCATAGTGAATCTTGATATGAAGAGCTTTATAATACTTTCTGCAGTGGAGCCATTTTTCTTCGGGGTTGGCGAGAGTCGCAGGACGGCCCACCAGGATTTGTCTGATTTCAGTAATACCATCACGTGCTTTACATTCTTTCCAACTTTCACTTTCGCGGTGAATTTTATTTTTGAAATACGGAGTAGGTACATCCCGATCAGCAGTAAAGGTCGCATGAGATGCGAACGTGGGCCCTGGCATTTCATATGTTTATTGCACAAAATTTCTAGACACAGTACAAAAGTGTGAAATAGCGTCTTTATTTTACCTTGCGCTCAGCACGCCTACACATTAACACAACACACACCCACACACACAAACAGGAACATGACAAAAACAAAACAAATAAACAGTGATAGTTTTAGTGATTATGATGAATGTAAGAGCTACGATGTCATCCACTATTGTAGAACACTCAGTCGCATGAAAATCAATTGCACACTTTTATATATTTCCAAAGCCACGTTCTATCAAGAAAACCATACTCATGCTAAATTACAGAGGTAGATAAACACAAACACATTCAATTTTTATAGGGAGATTGTGAGGTAAGTGAGTTGAGCTGCTCGGAAAAAAAATTGACGTTTCTACAAGAGCGCGGAATGCAGAAAGTGGCAGTGATGCTCAAGCGAAACTAAAATAATATCTTAGCTATGTTTGCCAATAACATCGCAAGCAACGTGTTTCAGCTGATTCGCACATATTTATGCCTTGCGTACGGTCATGTTTTACTCCATTGCACTTGTCTTGAATGCCATTATGCGATGACAGTGACACACGCCTCCACCCCCTTATGTCAGTGGATTTGCGAGTATGAGTAGGTTAAAAAGAGCTACGGAGATCATTTCTTTTCTATACATTCGTCCAATCATATCGTCGTCTCAGGCTTGTGCGCGTCTCCGTTAAGTAATAAGATTGCAGTTGTCTGCTCGGCGTCTCTTTCTTTATCTGCATTCTGAAAGGAAGAAAAAAACACGAATGGATTAGGATGCGAAATCAATCGAAGCTGACGTTTCAAAACTACAGTTATCGGCAGTGAGATTATAGCACATTCCTTGAGAGTGTCACAGGCTGTGGGAATTCTCGCACTCCCTGAAGTTACTTTTGCCTCACGACACCCGCGCGTTGGGTGGTGTAGCTTCACCGCGGGGCTCTAATATGTATGGTGATTGTTGAAGCAGAATAAGGCAGTTATTTCTGTCTCCCAGTTGGTGGCCTGGCTCAACGCCCACTAATAGCAGCATAGATATCTTAGCCACCTCCAATAAAGGTATGGCGCTTCGTTTCTTTGCTGGCGGCGCTTGGTAGTGAGGTTAAGCGGGCCCACCTGGTACATTACTTGTGTCTTTGACGCTGTTATCGGCGGATGTTTTGTGAACAACTGTGTGGGGTCATTCCTTGGCTCGTTCTCATGAACTTCCTCCCGTGGGGAGTCAAATGTAAGCACATTTGTGCTGCCTTGTTTTTTGGTTGTTTCTCTTTGGACGTAATATTTGTGCATTTCACTGGGTCAATTGTCGCGTTACGGCAGTTATTAGTACGATTCAGCTTGAAGTCTCACCGTTATTTCAAAGATGCTGATAAATATCCACGTGTTCGTCGCACTCTGGCGTATAAACCAAAAGACCAAGAAAAACAAAGCATTCAGTTGAGTCTAAAATTTGATTTCTTGCACATTTTCTCGCTTGAAAGTAGTGAATTGCACATATTTGCGCGAGTCAAAAGTGAGGAATCGTATGCAGTTTTTGATCTCACTTAGACGGTACGGAACTCTCCTTGTGGTCCACGTAACAAGGCTACTAGAAAATCAATTTTGTGTGCAAGATCGCCAGTTAACTAAAGTCCCGGAAAAATGAGATGAAAACAATCGTTAAAATGTTTTGCTAGCAGAAAGATGTAGCCAAAATGTAAAATAATTTTACACATTCTACGGGATCCTTCTTAGAGAGATGAAACATGTTTCGCGAACCTCGGTAAGCACCTAATACTAACACAACACCTGTAGCCGCTCGGCTTCATTGCGAGGTTGCACGTAATCCATCGATGTAACAAAAAGCAACAAAGCTCTTCGAATATTCGCTCTAATTTAATTCATGGTATGCCCCAAATTCCCTAGATTGGTGAACTGCTTCTTATTCTTCAACGAGTGTACGGCGTAGCGGTGTGGGAAGGAGCGTTCACCATGATTACTCGATTTAAGAATTACTCCTGTTTCATTCGACCGTAGAGAAAGTAAAAGAGTGGTAAAAAAATTCAGGTGTGACATTGTGGTCTTTATATTTTTCAATGATATTGTATCAAGAAGTAAGCAAAATACTTGTACTTGAATATTGTGTTATACATAGGCAGACAAAAGCGTAAAGTTTGTATAAAAGGGCTTTTACGGAAATAGTATCAGGGTCACAGTTACAGACTACGCGTTCTAGGGGGCGAAATACGTAATCTTTATACTTTTTTTTTGCATCCTGCCTAATTATAGAGTAGTGGATATGAACTCTTAACGTTATAGCGTACCTTGAAGGACGTACTAGATACATAATGCCATGTTTCACGTTGGCACAAGTTTTGGTACAAAATGCAGTTTGGTGCGATACTCACTAGTTCCTTGATGTCATATTCCACAAATCCTAGTTTCCTCCAGAGGTGAATAAACCACTTGTTGACGTGTGCCACGTCAGCCTTCCGCTTTTTGTGCTCCCCTATGCAAAGGAAAACATGCGTACAGTGAGTTATACACAAGAAAGGAAGTTGCCCCAGCTTTTTCAGTTCATTGACATAAAAAAACAGTGACTACAACATTACAGGCTGTGTGGCACAGCAGCTGCAAATACCATTTAAGGTATACACATAATTTATTACATTGTACGATATGGTACCTGTCACTTTCATAAGTGCGGTATTTTCAAACTAAACTATTTTAAAATTTAAGGCAGAATCCATGCTTCATTTTTGTGTAAATCGTTGCGGGGCATGTCTTCAATTTACACGACCTGCTTGTGTGTACCCATCGCTGCTTCTGCCTCAGCTGGGCTGCTGATCTGAACGTGGTGGGTTCGATTCCGGCAGGGGCGGTCGCATTTCGATGAATGCGAAATGCTGAGGGCCCGTGTAGTTCGCGATGTCAATGCGCGTTAAGGAACATTTGGTGGCCAAATATTCCGGAACCCTCCTCTACTGACTCTCTCATAATTATGTCTCAGTTATCAGATGTAAATATAAGATATATTCCTTTTTTGCTTTTCTTTGTGTGGCTGTCATTCCACATAGAAATTAAAACACATCATGCCCTGTGGTGTTTCTCAGCCACAATGCTTTTTATGGAGCCCTTGCTTCATGATTGGCCCTATTGTGTTTTTTTTTCGTCTGAACAGCAGTTGCCACCCTTATGAATTCAAGTCCTAGTTGAAGTTCGGGCTCTAGAAACAATCTTCGCTTGTCCTCTTTTCACCAGCATGAAGCTCACACGTTCCCACTACCTCCGACCTTCCTTGGGTTTAGAGATTATAGTAATTTATACTTGCAACAAAAGTTTTTTTCATTATATCCGTGAGATGTACCAGGAACTTTCCTCGAGTGATGCACTTCTATTTCATACTTCAATTACCCAAGCGTGACAGCTTTATCAAAGGCGGCAATGTCCTTGGTAAACGAACGACAACATTGCGACACAAAAACAGGAAAAGGTGACCTGATGTACGTCTTTTTTTTTTTGTCCTTACGTACATTCCAACAACGTTATCGCTCGGAGGTGCGTAGAACTGTGTTTGGGGTACGAATTAATCACAGATAACAAACTGTTCTGACGTTCACTCGTGACGGGAGGTGCACATCCCGGAAACTTCACAAGCTAGTGAGCGAAACCCAACGATTTGTGCTAGAGACTCTCATTGCAGGAAACCGCCTAATATTTCGAAGCAAAAAAGCTAACGCCTTATAAATGTAGAACAGCAGCTTTTAACATTTAAACTTAATTTTCTGCATTTAGGATCACCTAATCAAAGCTAATCACCTCAAATATTTCTTCTCTTTAATCAGCCCGTTTCTAAGGCAATTGCATTAATTAAGGCTTTATCAATAGCTTTGTAAGGCAAGGTTTCAGTGCCATGATTGACTTCCCAGCAAGAATGTATAATAATATATACCATAATATCGAAGGTTTTACGTCGCAAAACTATGAGACGATTATGAGAGACGCCGTAGGGGATAGCTCCAGGAATCTCAACCAACTAGTGGTCTTTAATGCGCACTGACGCAGCATAGTACAGGGGCTCTCCCCATTTTGTTACCATAGAAATGCAACTGCCATGACCAGGATCAAACTTGCGACCTTCCGTTCAGCAGCCGACGGTCATACCCACTGCTCCACCGTCGCGTTCTAGCAAGCCCGTTTGTTTTCAATATTAAATTTGATATTATGTTGATGAAATTGCATTGACAGCAGTTAAACTGCGTTTATTTTTCTGTCTAAATTGCAGCACGTCCTAACGCTCTTGATTGAAGTGGCATGTTCATATTTTCTTGTTATGAGTGTAATTAGAAAAATCATTTCGTAGGAAAAGTGAAGCGCAGTAGTCTGAAGGGTGCCACTTGTAAGCTCTATATTTTCATTCTAGATGTTATTACTCCTCTTACTCAAAATTACACAAACAGTGTGGCGTTCTTTAAACAATATATTCCGAAAGCGAATTTTTCAGTGAAAAACAAATGCCGAAGCAATAACGGTAATAAATAAAATTGCATTTTGTACGTGTCATAACAAGAACTAGTATGAATTTATTGCTATTACAGCTGCAGGCCTTCTCGTGTTGCAAAGGACTACAAATAGTAAAGAAAAAACTGCTATTGGTGCTCTTTCTTCGGTTCTGAGTTTACGCCAGAAACCTATTGTTAAGATGTATGCACGCACAAGCCCAACGTATTTTTTCCTTAGCCCTGTACAAGATGTCCAAACTAAGATGGGAGATTGGGACAATGCGTTATAGGGGTTCTATAAACTTGAATGAATTGCCTTAGGAAGTCTTGCTGACGTTTCTATTAGTGAAAGTGTCTTTGTGACAGGCTTGTCGTCCTGGGCGCGTTAGATTTGATGCGGCCCTGCAACTCTTCGTGAGCCTGGTCAGAAAATGCTGCGAATCGTAGTTTAGGTTCCCGAGAACATATCAGCCAAACATTATAGCATACAACGTGGTCTTAAATTTACAAATTTTGGAGGTATGCTGTAAATCGTTTCCTCTTCTTTCTACTAGGGATGTCATCTACTCCAATGACTGCGTCATATAATAATATTCCCGGCCATTGGCTGATTAAAGCGTTGTGAGTTTCACAGCTGCCGGGGCTGCCGTGGGTAGGGGGATGCGCAACGATTTAAGTAAGATGTGCGTTCTGAGTACAAAAGAAAAAAGGGCTAAAGGTGACGTAACTTCCTTCCATAAAAGCACGCACGTGACGTAACTTCCTTCCACCTTGCCATCTCTTGTTGCTTAGCTTTCAGCGTGCTAGTAAAGACGACAGAATACATCAACCATTAGGACACCCGACAAATCCCTGTAACTTTCCTCAATTCATGTTCAGCATAACTATAATCGTCTCCACTAGGCAGACGGTGCCCATGGCGGGGTACTACTGCTTGTCGGGTTATCAATAATCTTGCAGCAGTCAATTCGCATGGCGAAAGACTCCTTCGATCAAGACGTCCGATGATTACTTGGAAAAGTGTTGGAGGGCATAAAACGGGCTAGTTGTTGGCGTGACGTCAGGCGATGTCACTGTGGTGTCGTGGTCGTGAGTAATAACAAAACCTCTTTAATGGTAACGCCCAAGTTTGACGAGACAACTATGAGAAAGGCACACCTAAGAAACGTTGACCTTCTTGTCTGAAGCACTTAGTTTCTGACCCGGAACTCTTTGTATAAAGAGTGTGCTCTGTTCTCACGAATTCACTGCGGTCCCGCAGCGGTGGTCTAGTGGCTAAGATTCTCGACCGCTCACCCGCAGGTGGCGGGACCGAATCCCGGCTGCTTCGGCTGCGCTTTTGATGGAATTGAAAATGCTGTAGGCCATGTTCTTTGATTTAGGTGCATGTTAAAAAACCCCAGGTGGTCAAAATTTCCGCAGCCCTTCACTATGGCGTCTCTCATAGTCCTATGGTGGTTTGGAAACGTTAAACCCTACATATAAATCTATCAGAGAATTCATTTCGGTAACCTAAAAGGACACAAAAGGCAACCATTAAGTCGATGTTGATTGTTGAAATAGCACTCCAGAAACCTCGTAGTGTTACTTTTGTGTCAAGGAAGGGTATATTGTGAAATGAAATCACGTTTTAGTGAATCATATCGAGTTAGCGCACTTCAAATTACCCGCCTCAAAAAGCAGACCGACCGGACCGGCTCACGTCACTGTTGCCTTGCACAATGTTACCCGACTTTACTGCGCTAGTAGCAGCAGACTGAAAACAGCGGAAGCCATAACAGCAACAACTATAGCCCATGAGGTGGCGGGCGGGCACTCCCGCCCTCGGAGGCAATGGCAGACGTTTTTTGGTTTAACTGCACCCCGATGGATGGCACCACATTTCCATTGTAACTACACAAGAATTGAATTTTCGAACCACTCGCGTCATTTTACCCATAAAAACTTAGAAGTGTGGCAGTTTGGGCTAGCTGGTACGACAAGACGATAGTTATAGCGCAAAAACTGTCTTTTTGTTCTGTCTTTTTGTTCTGTTGTCACGCTATAACTATTTTATGTCATACCAACTAGCCCCAACTGCCACACTTCTAACGAACAATCAGAATTGTATTGCATCTCTTGATGCATGAAATGTTCTTTATTTAGTGCAGCTAGATTGATTACTAGTCATCAATCGTAGGCGGTCCTTCTGGTGTCATCGAAATCATTTTGAGAATGTCGTACTGTGGCGCTTGTGTTTTAGTGAATTTACCTTAATTTCTCGGTAAGTAGGGCCCTCTTGTTAAAACATTGTCGTTTTAGATGTTGTCATACATTGAGCTTTCACTGCGCGATTGCTTCTGATGCTTGTACTTGCTATGGGTCTCCTGGAAAATGTGAACTGTGTATGACATAAGAGGACTGAATTAATTCAGAGTAAACATAAACATGTTCGTGGAGCAAGTGAGTGCAAGCGCAGTGCGTAACTTTTTTTAACATATATGCTATAGTTTTCAAAACAATCTTACTGAGAAATCATGTTCATACGTGGAAGCGTGGGAAGCGATTCCACAAAATCTTTTATCGTGTTGCTGATAATATTCTAACAAATAATCACTTTTACCTACTCACGGTAAATGACCAAAAGTCATACAATGCAAATATAATCTTAAGATTTTCACTTTTTTCTGAAACCGCGATGATGATTTGTGGGGTTTAACGTCTCAAAACCACCATATGATTATGAGAGACACCGTATTGGAGGACTCTGGAAGTTTCGACCACCTTGGATTCTTTAACGTGCACCCAAACCTGAGCACAGGGGCCTACAGGATTTCCGCCTCCATCTGAAATGCAGCCGCCGCCGTTGGGATTCGATTCCGCGACCTGCGGGTCAGTAGCCGAGTACCTTGGCCACTAGACCACCGTGGCGGGGCTGTTCTGACACTGCTGAAATCAATTCGAATGAATAGCTTTTTTATTATCATAGGGCACTAATTGTCATGCAGTTGCAATTGTGTATTTTGGTTTCCCACAACACGCAAATAACTAAGTTTTCGTGTTATCGGAGCCCAATTCCGTGTGATATATGTGCTTTTTAGCTGCTTATTTCCATTTTGGCAACTTTTTTTTTCTCGCTGCAGAACTGCAGAATTAGGGCAGCGGAGTAAATATGAACCTCCACCTCTACTCAGCATACGACACTCTATTTCACTTTGCCGAACAATACCCTTTTTTCTCCTGCTCTCAAGAAGCCGAGCTAGAAGATTTTTAGCGGTAACCGGTCACGTACCTGTTGCAACGCTTATCAATACTCCAAGGACGACTGTGCCACACGTGCTGAAGAGGCAGCTCCAGAATGGCGAGAGCTGGAATGGGTCTGATGTGTTGTGTGGCCTGCGAGACAAATAGGCACAAGCACTTTGCTTTAACTGGATTTGTGTAGGCTCATTAACGGCAAAAGAGAAGGCCAAGAAAAACGTCGATGCCATATTGGCTCCAATGCACAGAGAAGAAGAGTACGCAGATTACTTAGAAGAGAAGAAAAATGAGCAGTAATGCACACAGAGACACTCCAAAAGGTGCATGATTTGATTTTTGATAGACCATTAGAGGGGTGAATCACATAGCAACACTTGTCACCGAAGAATGCAAATATAACTTCGTTACCTGTCTGAGTAGAGTGAACTGCAGGCGAGGCGGCGCGCGATATATCTCAACAGAGCACGAGGGCTCACAATTTCTACGTGACGCTCTTTCGCCACTGATTTCACCTTGAAGCAACAAACGGCAAGAAAACCGCCTCGCTCGCTGGAGCGGTCTTATTTTCTTATGCCAGCGTGATGTAGAGTTAGGCCCGAGTGATCGCAAATGGATTAGGTACAGTTACTAGTCTTACTTTGCGAATGTGAAATAAGCTTTACGCTACTGCGTAACATTCGAGTTTTTTGATGTTGCATTCACTTTTCCGTCCATGAGGTGAGAGCCGTGGCTTTCTTCAACAGCCGGGCTGCATATTCTGAACATCTTTTCTTGACGAGTGATCGTAAATGACCATCGTCTTGAGGAGGCACGTGCTCTCTTTGTCCTCCTTCTCTGCTTAGCTCTCGGAACACATGTTCCCGATCTGTCCACCGTGGCAAAACAGAGAGAACAACTTTATTTAAAAATAAAAGAACCCCAGTCCGGGTCTAGTAAAAAAAAACTATCCATCAGACAGGCCAAGAAGTTGCAAATGCTGGAGCAGTGTCTTCATAATGTCCGGGGAGGAGTCTGCTAGCCACTCCTCCAGGGTCGCAGGTCTTAGGTTTATAGGTATGTGCTGCTTGAGGCTCTCGCCCAATGCTGCGCGACCACCCGGACAATCCCACAGAACGTGAGCATTATCCGAAAAGCCACCACATTCCATGCAAGCAGGAGACCCGTCTTTTCCTTGTATGTAGTGTTGAATGTGTGGTGTCATTAAAGAGTAAGTTTGGGCACGCCTTATCAGCTATGCCTCGTGTTTCGTCATGAAATGAGGAGGATCGGGATAAACCCTGAAATTCTTGCGCATCTCATCCAATCGTTCGCGCCACCTAAAGGTGCGATATCAAGTAATTCGGTGCGTTTCAGTGAATCCGGCCACCGCAGAGAAGGGCCTGGGAGATTTACACAGGGCATGGCGTGTGCCACTTCATTCCCTCTGATCTCCGAGTGGACCAGGTATCCACAGTGTACGAACACGTAACGAAGGGTGGTCAGCTGAGTGCTTCGTAAGTTTGTTGTATTGCGCGTCTGGAAGGTCATCTGTCGCGAGGGCTCGACAGGCAGCTTGGCTATCTGTGCGTAACAGTAAATTACGGGCATTTGTATTGAGCTCCACAGCGGTATAGAATCACTCTGATGAGTGAAAAAACAAGCGCAGAGATTGAGAAAGAGAAAAAAATGGCAGCATATCCACGGAGTGAATGATGGAGAGTGGGGCAAAGCATTCGTCCATCCATGCGTCCGTCTGTGTGACCGTCCATGCGTCTGTTTGTGCGCCCATCCCTGCGTTCTTTCATGCATCCGCCCCTGCATCCGTTCATGCGTCCATCCATGCATCTGTTTGTGTGTCCGTTCGTTCATCTATTCATCACTCCAAGTCCCACCATCTCGCATCTTTTTATCATATATTCCCCATATAGAAGCACCGCCATCCAGCGGACATTCCAAGGACTAAACGAGAGGTGGCACACGCACACTTTCTTACGGCCTGCGCTTTGGGTCCACTTCCCACCTTTAACCACCTCGAGTGCATGGTATATTCTAGTTCACTGTATTCATGGCACTGCGACCAAACGCTCGCTAAACCTTTCGAAAACCAAAGAGGTTACGCCCAGCGAGTATAACGTAGCAACGTTTTCCTGTCAGATAGGGCTCAATTTACATGCCAATGGCTGCTAATGAGAAATGAGAGACAGGAGAATTCGGCTTTTACTTTCTTACGGCTTGCGCTTCGTATCTACTTCTCATTTTTAATTACTTTGAGTTCATTCATGGTATATACAAGTTCATTGTATTCATGGCACTGCGGCTCAACGCTCGCTAAACCTTTCTAAAGCTAAGGAGGTTACACCCAGCGAGTATAATGTAGCATCCCTTTCTTGTCCGATAGTGCTCAATGTACATGCCAATGGCTGCTAATGGGGATCGCAGCGTGCGCGTTGACTAAAAGGCGAATGCTCATGTCTCTCATTCCCCATTAACAGCCATTGGCATGTACATTGAGCACTATTTTTTATTGTTAAACAACGCACAGAAGAAATCTCTCACTGGCACCACCTTGGAGGTCAAGTGTTATACCTATTTCGGGTATGTGCCACTGGTGGTTACATACGAGGGACGCCCAAGCCACGCCATATGAAGCTTCGCCCCTAAAAAGGAAGCGTTTAGATTCCGAGCATCACTCCAGCGAGCTGGATTGTCTTGCAGTATTTTGGAGCATCGATGATGAATTTCGACAATATCTTTTCGGGCGAAAATTCACTGTTGTGACTCATATTGCTGCTATTGCATGGATGTTCGCCAAGCAGCAACTAAAGCACAGAAAAAGAGAGAGAGGAAAATTCTTGGTGAAAAATATCACGGCATATCCCCGGATAGAAATATCAGCCGTCATGCAGACACTGCGGAATCGGGGCGTAGATGAAGTATATATAAACATTCTGGAAGAAATCTACAGGGAATCAACTGCTACCATAGTACTTCATAAAGAAAGCAACAGAATACCAATCAAGAAGGGTGCATGGCAGGGTGACACAATCTCCCCAATGCTATTTACCGCTTGCTTACAGGAGGTTTTCAGAAGCCTAGAATGAGAACAGTTAGGGATAAGAGTTAATGGAGAGTACCTTAGTAACCTGCGCTTCGCCGATGACACTGCATTGCTGAGTAACTCAGGGGACGAATTGCAACTCATGATCACGGAGTTAGACAAGGAGAGCAGAAAGGTTGGTCTTAAAATTAATCTGCAGAAAACGAAAGTAATGTACAACAACCTTAGAAAAGAGCAGCGTTTCGAGATAGGTAATAGTGCACTTCAATTTGTGAAAGACTATCTCTACTTAGGACATGCAATAATCACGGAGCCGAACCACGAGATTGAAGTAACTAGTAGAATAAGAATGGGATGGAGCACATTCGGCAAGCACTCTCAAATTGTGACAGGTAGATTGCCACTATCCCTCAAGAGGAAGGTATATAGCAGCTGCATCTTGCCGGTACTTAGCTACGGAGCAGAAACCTGGAGACTCACAAAGAGGGTTCAGCTTAAATTGAGGACGACGCAGCGAGCAATGGAAAGAATAGTGGTAGGTGTAACCTTAAGAGACAAGAAGAGAGCAGAGTATATTAGGGGACAAACGGGGGTTAAGTATATCATAGATGAAATAAAGAAGAGGAAATGAACATGGGCCGGGCATGTAGCGCGTACACAGGATAACCGCTGGTCATTAAGGATAACTAACTGTATTCCCAGAGAAGGGAAGCGGGTTAGGGGGAGACAGAAGGTTAGGTGGGCAGATGAGATTAAGAAGTTTCCGAGTATAAATTGGCAGCAGCAAGCACAGGACCGGGTTAACTGGCGGAACATGGGAGAGCCCTTTGTCCTGCAGTGGACGTAGTCAGGCTGATGATGATGATGATGATGATCCCCGGACTGAATTATGATGAGTAAAGCCAAGCGTCCTTCAATCCATGCGTCCATTCGTTCGTTGTTTCTTCCGTCCGTCCACAGTGCGCCCATCCCTCCGTCCATCCATCCATGTTTGCGTCCGTCCGTGAGCCCATTCATCTGTGCATCTTCGTCTGTCCGTACATCTGTCCGAGCGTCCGTCCGCGCGTACATCCCTCCATCCGTTCGTCTGTGCGTCCCTCCATCCGCCCGTATGTCGGTGCGTTTGTATGGCTGTCCATCCATATTTCTGGTTGTCTGTCTGTCCGTCCTTGTGGCCGTCCATGCATCCATCCATTCGCCCATCCATTTAGTGAGCACTCCAAGTACTGCCATTTCCCATGTTTTCATCATATATTCATCATATGCAAATACCGCCATCCAGCGCACATTCAAAGGACTAAATGAGAGGTGACTACCTACTACTACGATGACAACAACTACTACTACTACTAAACACATTGCGGACACCCGGCCCACGGCATAAAAAGCTCTACCCCTCAAAATTTCTTGGACGAAGGAAGATGCGAGCCCGCGTACCAAAGATCAGAAGGCGACCGTCTCAACTACTCAGCTATACAGGAACGTTGGCATGACCTTGTTTAGTACAGTGCAGCAAAGGGGTGGGAAAGGGAACTGAAGGTAAGGCGGAGACAAGGAATGTGAAGAGAGAGAGATTAAAGCATAATCTATAAAGTTAAAAAAGCGCTGAAATGAACAGAAAAAAACAACATGAAATACAGAGTCTCAAAAAAACAGAGAAACGATATGAATAGAAATAAATGTAGTCAGGCGTAGTTATTACATACCCACTTTAGACGTTAAGCGGGTAAAAGTGAAGCTGAAAGCGGTGGTGGTGTCGGAACAGTATAGCAGCAAAAACAGCGGGCAGTGTTGCAGCAGCAAAACCGGCCAGGCAGCTTCAGCTCGTGCCTCGTACAAGACTCATGATATGGATTCAGCGCTGGGCATTCCTCTTCACTACAGTGCTATCAAGCATTTAAAACTCATGTGTGAAGAACCCCTGACCAAATCTCATAGAACTTAATGCCTTGCTGACTGCTTAAGCCGTGTGCATTTTGTTTCGACCTATGTCTATCAGTTACGGCGTAGCTTCTGCATACAGCAATGACACTTTTGCCGGGAAACTTTACTGTGCTGCTGAAATTTCCGACGCTGCACTGTACCGCTAAATGTTTTCACTCTCTTTTCGAGAAGAGAGGATATCCGCAGATAGGAGATTCCACGTTCCGCGAGATGCCGGCGATGTCTTTACGGGTATAGGTAGGCTAACAATGAAGGCGGAGTGGCGACCACCGACAAACACGCCAGTACTTCTTATCAGCGAAAACGTTATCTTTATAAGTATCTACAGCTGTATGCTCGAGCACTCATGCCGCTTCGCGCCACTTCACAGCCCACTTTCATGAACTAACCTTATCTGTATCTCTTGCTCTCTTTACATTTACGGCGTCTTAGGCCGTTTCGTAAACTGGTCTTACGTTTCAATCCAACCCTTGTTCAACCTTGTCGCCGCGATAAGTCAGTGTTTCACAAGGTAGCCCGAGAGTTACCTTAAGGCACCACTTATACAGCGCACTACATGGCTGGTTATGCAAGCAGCTTGGCAGAATCTATCACTTTAGTCACGCTTTTAAGAAAAGGCTATACGTATGCGATCGGCGTTCAACATGTACGAGTGCTCGGGAACTACGAAATTTCCTGAAAAAGCTCCGCGACAATGTGTAGCTGAGCCCATTTCACTTTTCGTTCAAAGCAAAAACTTTTCTAGCATGGTGCCAGATGGAAATGACCTCCCAGTATGGCAGAATTTCTGTGCCAACACTCCTCGTGCTGCTGATGGCGCTTCGTTTCTACGGTTCAGGCCCGTTAAAATTGGGAAAATTTACTTGGTGTACATGCTTTAGGCCACACTTCCCCGCATTATTAGATGTGGGGAAAAATTATGGCGGATACGGTGCTAAATGAAACGTGTTTCACTGCAGGAAGGAATATATTCTTGTTCCTAAACTCGTGGGGCCATTTATGGCAACCAACTAACATGAATATACGTATGCAGTTAGCGGCCGCGTATTTTTGTGCTTCACTGCAGAGTACGTCGAAACAAGATGGTCTTCTGTCTGGACTCGTTACTTAGCGCTGCCTGAGATAAGGCACCATTTAGCGGTAAGGTGAAGAAACAAAAGTTTTTTTTTTTTTTTAAGGTGAAGTCACTGGTAGGTGGCAGCAAGGTCATTTTAGTTAAAGCCTTTGAATTTTTTATCAAAGCGTGGGAAACGCCCGCTTTTTTTTCTTTTGAGTGACGCATTGTTTGCGTAGCAGGATGAACACTTCTGTCTTTAGAACTACGTATCTTTTGTTTTTCAGAGTAAAAAGACACATAACTATTACGTATTGATGTTTCATCCCAAACATGCGTGATATTTGCTTTTTGATTGACATTGTACACAAGTATAAACGCAGTCAAAGAACAAGATGGGTGGGTCTTTAGCAAGGGGTTAAAATGAATTGCTCTTCAGACAGACTAATAAGAAGGCAAACAGGCTAAACTTTCTGCGGAGTATTCTAATAAAGACTATATAAAAAAATTTGGCAGATGCCACGTGCATTGGGAATCAACGTTATGCGAAGCATCCGGAGGGAAAGTGACCGTGTTGTAATTTTTATTGAGTAGCACGTTATGAAATGACTGTAAAAATATATGAAAATGTTGCACACGCAGACATATTTTGAACAGTGGCAGATGATAATATAAAAAGTCGTTTGCACTTGCGGAACGGTGCAACAGCGACATCAGTACCGGCAACACCAAAAAGCGATAAGTTGATACGAAGTGCTGGTGCTCGTGAAGATGGTATTCCTGAACGCTGTTAGATGAATCAATTTTGGAGCAAGGTATCTAACTACAATTAACGTTAAGTCGACATAACGTCTGTATCATAGGAGTACATATGTAATGTTTATAAATTGGAATAGCCAGCACTGCAACCACAATTGACGTTTCTTGATCATTATAGCCTTCTTAAAAAGTAGTTTGAAGAAAGACCTGGCATAGCTTTGTGGTTAAATGCTTCGTTGCCGCAACGAGTGCTAAGGCTTGGTTCCTGCTGGGACCTAGGCATTTATTCTACGAATTCGTTGAGTCAACGCTGCCGATGTCAGCTTTTTTTTAACGCTCATGCGTTGTGTTTTCTTGCCGTTACCGGGTAGATACTGAGCGTCAATCACCGGCGGCACAGCACCGCCGCATTGGCCTAGCGGCTAAGGTACTCGCATGCTGACCCGCAAGTCACGGGATCGCATCCTGGCTGCGGCGGCTGCATTTCCGATGGAGGCGGATATGTTGAAGGCCCGTGGGCACAGATTTGGGCGCTAGTTGAAAACCCCTGGCGGTCGAATTGCCGGAGCCCTCCACTACGGCGGCTCTCATGATCGCATCGTTGTTTTGGGACGTTACACCCCACTAATAAATAAATAATCTGTGGCACATACCCGCATACCAGTGGCACAGACCAACCTGCGAAGATGTATCATGGTCTGGCACGAAGCCTTTGACGACGTACTCGATGAGATTGTGACATTATTCATGTCTTGATCAGTGCGCCATATTTATCTAACCATCTCACCGTTCCCTACTCATTTTCGTTAGCGCCAACTTAAGAGGGTGATCATGAGAGCACCCAAACGTAAGCAGATAGATAGATAGATAGATAGATAGATAGATAGATAGATAGATAGATAGATAGATAGATAGATAGATAGATAGATAGATAGATAGATAGATAGATAGATAGATAGATAGATAGATAGATAGATAGATAGATAGATAGATAGATAGATAGATAGATAGATAGATAGATAGATAGATAGATAGATAGATAGATAGATAGATAGATAGATAGATAGACCAAACCTACTTGCAGTACGTAAAAAAATTCTTCGAATTTGCATCAAAACGCTCGAAATTGTGCGCACCTCTTGGAGCACCTTGTCGGTCAGCGCCTGTGGCCTCATCAACACGTCTCCACGAGCCTCCGGTATCATAACCGTAATGCTTTCACAAACAAACGAAGGAGACAGTATGGCTAGACGAGGCAGAAATCGCACAGGCATGCAATTCTGAACCAATTTTATTGTTTTGAGGAGCATGTAGGTATTTTGTTCTTGCTACTAAACCAACGATGAGATAGTAACAGCTCACAGCTTCGTTCCTATACTCGTGCCTTATGACATGAAGGCTGCCTAAATCAAAACAAAGCAGCGTGCCGTTGCCGAATTTATCACTGTGGTTCGCGGGCCCCGGAAAACCTTGTTGAACGAGTGTTAGCACGCTAAACGCACGAATATGGCACAGCAAGTGTAGCACTGTTATAACCATACTGCACAATTTTATTAGGCCATAAGGCACACGCACCTCCGTCCGCTTCCAGGACCACTAGCGCACCGAGGAGCACGCCCAGTTTGCAGGAAGCTCATCGCTCAAGACCGTGCATAGAGGCCACGCGTAGCTTGTCGCGTTGGATGGAGTGGATAGACGAAGGACACTGCCACTACAAATGAGCGCGTACAGCATGTGGTGCGACTATAACGGCGCCAGCCGAATGACTGACGTAGTGCACGTAATTAGCCGGGAAAGAAGCGGCTCTGTAGGATAGCGTACCACGTTTCAATGAAACTAGGTTTTCTCATAGTGGCAAATTGTGGTACAGCCTCGTACATATTGTTACGCACAAGGAGGACCAGGACGTACACGGCTGAAGGACGTATATGGCTCCTTGTGCGTAACAATATATATCACGCAAAGGCGGCACTGTTCATTTGGTCGACGTGTCAGACGTGGTGTATTGAGGACCAAGTAATACATTGAAATGCTCTTCAACGTCCCCGCGTGGCCTCTGCGCGCTATCAGATGGTCGTGCGAGACAACCAGATTATTTTGCTGCACTTTGGCAAAAAAAAAAGAAAAAGCTGTTTGGTGGGCAACATATTGCTTTGACACTGTATTTATGTTTTTATCATTATTGACGGCGATGGCACACACCAATAATAAAACGATCTTGATCCTTAATGCGCATTGCGGTTTAGTGGGTTTAGTTATGCCCCACTCTCGACAGGTGCTTACTAACCAGATCAAGAAAAAGAAATCGAAATGAAGAGACAATAGAACGAATATTGAAAGAACAGAGAGAAAACAGAAAAAAAGAAAGAGGTAGAAAAAGAGAAACGAAAAATTTCGCCCATACTTTCTCTCTTCATGCTTAGTACCATAGTACCACTGCTGTGAAGCTGCCTACAGTTTTACGAAGACATTTTGGCAACATTTTGACGGGGTGCTCACCTTTCAGTTGGCAGAATAGTTGTGAAGCTCGAGTTGCTTTCAAGGCGGGTGCGGTTGTCCGGACAGTAGTCGAGACTGACCGGCATGAACGGTGGCTTGGTGCCGCTGTGGATGGCCTGCCACATGACCAGCAGTTGGAAGCCCAAGAGCAGGAGCGTCGAAATGCCCGCACCCTGAGAAGTGAGCACTCAATAAGCCCGTCATCATAAAATGATGTTCTAACGCCCATGGGCATTGTACGCAGTGCGCAGTGTCACGAACGTGACTGTGGATATGAAAAATGAAGATCGATATATAGAGCACTACAAAGCTCTATTGTGCGGTTATCAGGCTCTACGGAGGGGTAAGGTAGCATCGGCAGAAACGAGCTTGCACGCCAGTCTTCCTGAGCACATGAATATATATATTGAAACAAAGAGTCAAAGAGGGCGAGAAGAATGGATTCCAAGCACCGCCGCCAGTTAGAAGGCGTTGATGAGCAGCACTTCATTATAAAACAAGGCAGCCTTGAGGCGAATAATTTACTCTCGAACATTCATCGTCATTTCCATCATGGTTTTAGAACACTAACAAAATGGTAGAATTCGCGCATGACATTTCTAGCAGCCGTTACATTGGCAATTAAATTGATGCACGTCTTGATGCATGTCACAGACGTCGAGCATTCTCTAACGCTCACCCCTTCATCGAAGAGAACGGTGCCTTTGAATCGGGAAGACTTTCCGGAACTAACGACTCGGTAACAACACAGTAACGTCTCCCTTGGACCTTGAGTGAACGGCGCACGTATGTGTTCAAGGAGAATGACCTTGAGGCTGACGCGTATAATCCCCGAAGAGAATTTGACTGCTTCGGAAGTTGGGGTTCCAACCAGCGGGAAGCGTGGTCTTTGGTGTCGCGAGTCTCACGTCTTGAGCCGGCTGCAACACCAGGCACCCTCTTCGTGTGCCTGACCTGGCGAGACCATCAGCGCCACCCCGTTAACTCCCTTACCTGAACCACGAGCTGGACTGGTCCGTATGAAACATTTTAATGTGATCTTTTTCTCAACGGTTATTTTAATGTGCACAGCTTGTAAATAATGTCTTAGTGTCCGCTGCAGCGCACGTAGAAACTCAGTCACGTGAACACCATCTGTTTGTTATTGTTTTTTGTATCTCTAGAAGTTTCCATGATGTCCCTTTATTTATTACAATCTGCGTGAAATTTACTTGTGCCTTTTGCAGTGTTCTTTCAGAGGATAGTTTGTTTGGTAGCTGTTCAATCCATCGCGCGTATTTGTTTTGTTTCCTTTTAGTCAATTTTGACTGACTCCAGCTATCGCCTGCCCCTGTTTTAAATAAGGGATTGTTTGATATTTATTAGGTCTTCGTGTCTCCTCTAAGAGAAAGTCATTCAGACACAATTATCACTACACGTTAAACCCGGCACAAGTCCAGCAGCCTGCAAATAAATGTAAAATATATGACTTAGAGGTATTGCAGGTGTCGCATGCCTAAACACAAAGTGGAAGCTTCGGAGCGTGCATGCCCCACGCCGCTGTTAGACCGGCGTGGCCTCACACGAAATGTGTTACAGAGCGTTATTCATAGACTTTTACATGAGTTTCAACACTGTTTTGCCTAATAGGCTGCTAAGTAATATTGACGCTAAGTGAAAGTCCCCTTGATTAACCAAATGAATAGGTAGGTTTCTTGAATATCTATCTCAATATGTCTCATTCAAAGCCATTTCGTCCTCAGCTGTCGATGTAACTTCAGGTGTTCCACAGGGGTCCGTTCTAGGACATTTATTATTTCTATTTTTTTAAATGAATATTCCTAATATTACGAAATCAAAAGTCTATATTTATGCAGAAGACCACCTTATATCAAGCATTTCTTTTTATAGCGATCATACCTGACGTCAGGATTCCTTCACCAGTTTTTGCAAATGCGTCAGGCAATGCCATATGTGCGTCGATTTCAAGAAAACTGTAGTGGTATCAATCACCAACAGCGACTCTCAATTGCCACATGTGAACACCTCCGAGAACACAATAATTCCCGGGTACAAAAAGTACAAATACCCTGGGGTTATCTCACCCCACAACTTGCAATGGGAGCGGCTGCAGGCCTGTGTGCTCAGATTTGGGTGCACGTTAAAGAACCTCAGGTGGTCAAACTTTCTGACGCCCTCCACTACGCCGTCTCTCATATTCATACGGTTGTTTTGGGACATTAAACCCCACATAACAATCAATCAAATCATATAAATCAGCTTTCCATTGGGGCAACATATTGATTACATCACATCCAAAGCATTGAAAAAAAATAGTTTGCTTGCGTCGGACGTCATCTCAATTTCTGAAATGCACCAGGTCACTGTTGTATAAAAAGCCTATTCTATACTAGAATATGCTTAATTTGTCTTGAATACGTATAAAACAAACGACGTCCACAAAATTGAATCTGTTAAACAGAGGTGGTTCGTTTCATTTGCCATCGCTATGATCGTAACTTTTTAACTTCGTTAGCAGTGAATCTCTTTAAGCTCCCTTTCCTATCCACCAGGTGGTACACCGATTCCGTGAAGCTATTGCACTCATTTATTCAATCATCTTGTCGACTATATTCAGGTAATCGCATCTCATACTCTAATACACTTTCAACTAGACGTTACCACAGTCTAAATTTTAAGCCTTTGTTTACGCACACGAACAATTTGAATAACAGGTATTTTCCTAGAGTTATTGAAAGGTGGAACGAATCACCCGGCAGTATCAGTGAATTGTCGTTATTGGATTTTGTAGATGCACTGTTATAATAAATCATTCTCTCTTTGCTTGTTTTGCTTTGATGTCCACCTTGATAAGGATTGTAATTTGTTCATGTGTATCTAGCACTCTTGCAAAAAGCCTGTATAAGGCTACTGTACATGAAAATAAATAAATAAAATGAGTAAGCATACATGAAAAGAGCGAAAATGCACAGACAAAACGAAGTCATCCCGACACAGAACATTGTAATTGAACAATAATTTATTTATTGTGCCCAGGAACAACCATTCGCTCCTAATAGTATTATTGTTATTAGAAATAAATATAACATAAATAATAATATACATAATAATCATATTTCTAATAATAATAATAATAATAATAATAATAATAATAATAAAAGAATGCGGTTGTTGTTGTTGTTCTTATTATTATTATTATTATTATTATTATTATTATTATTATTATTATTATTATTATTATTATTATTATTATTATTATTATTATTATTATTATTATTATTATTATTATTATTATTATTATTATTATTATTATTATTATTATTATTATTATTATTAGGTAGCAGGAGACGTGAAGCCTCTATACTTACCAAGCCATTGCAGACGTTTCGCGAGGTAGTATTAGTCCCAAATGCCACTGTATGTCTGTCATCACAAATTCAGCTGAGCTCATTGATGAAAAAGCATGCTCCGAGGAGTGCTTATCTCCTACCGTTGTATAATGCACCAACGTTTTATCTAATCTAATCATCCGCAAAAAATGATAAAGTCGTGTGAGTCACGCACCTTTGTATGTACGAATGGGAAGGCAATCGCCAGTATGAGCAAGCCCACGAAAGGTCCTGTTGATGCGGAAAGCACCATCATTATGACCTGCATCCAAAAGAAGCAGGTATAATTAGTCATGTGTACTCTCGTGAATATATGCGAAAAAAAAAAACACTGCACGACAAGTGAACCACGCAGCTTGTCTTGATGAAACACCTCTGAAATTTTGCACCAGCTAAGAACAAAAACTTAAAATGTTGTAGGCGTGTGTACTCACATTTGGGTGCACGTTAAAGAACCCAGGGGGTCAAAATTTCCGGAGCCCTCCACTACGGCGTCAGACATAATCAAATGGTGGTTTTGGGACGTTAAACCCAACAAATCAATCAAGAACAAAAACTTAGAGGTGACCCTAATTCAAGACTTGCGTGTCTAGTAAAGGCGCTCACACGCCATCATTCGCGTGCCTTGGCACATTCCTTGGTTTAAAGGAGTACTGACAAAAATTGTAAATTACTTGACGTAGTTACTCTATATAAAAAGACGGGTATCGAGAACCCTTAAACATTGAAGGACACCTTGTAATTTCGAAAGTGTGTTCGGTGGAAGTCTTCGCCCATTGAGACGGGGTTGGTCAAAAAAGAACGAAATGCGCGCGTCTTCCTTCTTCAATGAGTGGTACCATGGTGAGCAGGCCGGGCACAGTGTTGTTTCGTACTACGCCGAAGAATTCTCATTCATAGACATAAAACATGTCCATTTTGGAGATTTTTATCTACAAACGTTGATGAAGTTCCCAGCATATGTCCCTCCACAGTATTGATTTCCGCCCCCATCCACGCACACATACACACTCTATAAATACAGGTGTCTGACGTACTGGTGACTTTTGACAATATGACAAGCCCCACCACTGCCGCACAACAAAAGCATGACTTTATACATTCATATATTTTTAGTACACAGCACATTGCGGGCTTCAAGTCTAACACCAATAGTAAACTAGAAATTGCTCTGAGTAAATATAAGAACCGAATCTCAGTGGCTGCGCTTCCGTGGTGCATGCGCGAGAACATTTTACAGCAAAAAAAGGCGAACTGTGACTGCTGATTATAGGCCGCCTTATGAGAGTTCAACCACTCCAGAAATTTCCTGAAATATCACGAAGGTTCCCTTTTTTTCTTTGGCTTGAAGTGAAAGCCTGCAATTCGCCGGAAAAGAGAAAATTATTTGCACGGAACATCACTGGCTGGAAACAGCGACGCTACGGTAGCAAAACGCGAGCGCTGTGCAGTTCAACGTGAGGCATGACCGACGCTATACCGGCATCTGTTAACCCCGGCGGGCACTTGCCAGCATGCCATGTCACAGACGGATGGAAGGTCACATGGGAGTGAGCATGAACCATTACAGGACTTCGCCTTAAAAGAGTACAGCGTTGCACGAGAATACATCGCATACGTTTGATTGCGATAGCAATTATATGGACACTCTCAGCTGGATTTTGCCACCGGCGATGATTTAATGCACGGTATATGTGTACTTTACTATATATATATGAAAACACAAGACAGAAAAGAATCTAGAAAAAAAAGACTCCGGCACGCGTAGTCGAACGTGAGACCTCCACGTCAGCAGTGAGAGGCGTTAACCACTGAACCACCGAGAAGTAGCTCTTTCACTGTTGAAACGGCAAGCTATTTATACCTACCACTTGCCGCTGTTGGCAGGCATTTCTAAGCCGCACTCTCTACTTAATCTAAAGATTGTGTACATAAACTTGTATGCAGTGGTGTAACTGTAGTGGGTGTTGTTCTGTGGAAGTTACCGCTATTTCTTCTTGGAATTATTCGGCATGGGCTAACTGTGCACTAAGTTTTATGAAAGTGGTTTCAAATACTTTCTTGCTAGCCTTTCGTCTTATTGTTTCATTTCATCTTCTCTGAGGGCTATATATGACATGATAAAGAAGAGTGGTTGCAAAGTAGGCAGAAGTGAAATATGGGAAAAAATAAGCTTTTAACATCACAAAATAGAGAATAAGTTTTTCTTTTTCTAAATTCAACTTCAATATAACTCCAACACTTACCCTTGTAATGGAGCCCATGTATATGCAGATACAGCTGTACAGCGTCATTAATATCCCAAGTAGGAATGCTGCACCAGAAGAGTAATGAAAAGAAAAGCACGTGCATTATAAATATCTTCAGAAACATTAAAGCACTGCACGTAAATTTAACCAAATTTTACGACACTCCCCTTCGAATCATGGACACAAGACTTCAAATCTCGCCAAGCTAATCATTTGTTTTTCTTTATATCGTTTTTGTTTCTCTCTTTTTTTCTCTTTTCTCTCTCTCACACGTGTTCTCTCACCAATCAGCGCTACTGCTCCCCGTGGCAGACAAATCGGTGTGCGTGTTCTGTCTCAAAAATCATTTGGCGGAATCATTTGGCTGTTCAGACAGTTCTGGCTTGCCACTTATACAACTCTTTTTAAAGAGGCCCGTCAACTTTCTGTGGGGGCCATTTTGCTCCATTCTGAGAGTCATGTCACCCACGAGAAAGCCAATGTGTTTCTTTAACTCTTTTGGCCCTGGTACCGTATGAAAAACATAAAGAAATTTTGCTACCAAACGCAACCTAATGAAGTCAGAAATTGAAAAAGGTGTCCGAACTATCCTCAATAACTCTTCGCAAGCATTTGTAGTAAGTTTTTCGTCGTCATCTTCTTTAGAACTCCGAAAAGTACAAAACAAAATGGGAGATTGCGATAACGTTGACCCTCCCCACAACCAAATAATGAATGACATCTTACTGGGGAGGTATTAGATCAGTGGCTATCGTATTTTTGATGTTGCTTCTAAGATGTCTAACCTGCTATTACAAAGTAGGTCTTCCATAACAGTAACGTATCGCCCACAGCAGTGGAAATCTTCATGTCCTAAGCATAGCACACCATGGCTCAGTGGTTGTCAGACCTCTGAATGCATATAGGCTAATCTAGATGTGAAGTTCTCGTAGAATCTCCCAATTTTTTGTTACTATAGTCAAAAAATCTGTACACATCACTTAGATTATATGTAAGGAGCGTTTATAGCGAAATAGTACGCAATAAAACTTTATTTTAAGAAATATAATAATGATGGGTGATGGAGCTAGAAGAAGGCGACGATGAAGTGGAGTTACTTCAGCTTTCCCTTGCGAACATGAGCGGAATGAATTCTGGTGCTGCAAAGTAGGATTACTTTGCAGCACCCTACAGTCCTGACAACGAGAATTTCGTCGTCAATCTGTCCTCCAAACAACTCTCCCCGACAGAGCACAGCGTGCTGGCAAAGGGACACAACTTCAACACGACCACGACACGTCCGTCACTGCCAAAGATCATCGCGGCTACGGAGGAAGGCATAAGGCGACTCGACAGCGGCATTCGGGAGAACGTGCGTCTCAAGGCTATCGGCGTACTATCAAAAATAGGAAAGCGCCGTGAGCACAACCTGTCGAGAGAGGAGTGTAAGGCGATCCATGCGCTCCGAAATGATGATAAGGTTGTCATCCTCCCGGCCGACAAAGGGAACGCAGTGGTCCTGCTCGACAGGGAGGCATACAACGACAAAGTGCGAGACCTGCTGGACAGTCCGGCCTACGAAGAGCTGACGAAGGACCCCACACCAAGTGTCCAAAGGGAAATGAACAAGCTCCTGGCGGATATCTTTAAAGCGCACCCGAAGGCGAGAAACATATACCTCCAGCTCATCTGCCGGAACGGCTCTGCACCAGGATTTTACGGGCTTCCCAAGACCCACAAGCCCACAGTTCCGCTCCGTCCTATCGTGGATTTTACAACATCTCCACTCCGGGCGCTGTCCAAGTATCTCCACCGGACTCTCGCGCCGCTCGTGGGGCAAACACCAACCCACATACGCAACGCCAGCCACTTCGTGGAGCGCATGAGAGATGTGACCGTGAGCAGCGATGAGTGCTTCGTCTCGTTCGACGTCGTATCCCTGTTCACCAGTGTGCCCGTAGCACTAGCGGTATCTAGCGCACGAGCAGCGTTGAACCAAGACGAGCTCTTGGATGAAAGAACCTGCCTGGGCGTCGACGAACTGTGTCGCCTACTGGAATACTGCCTCAAGGGGACGTATTTCAGCGTCAACGGGAGCTTCTACAGACAAGCCAGCGGGACCGCGATGGGAGCGGCGATCTCAGTTACGGCTGCGAACCTCACAATGGAACACATAGAAGAGACGGCACTGGGCTCCTTTATTGACAGGCCGAAAGTATTTGTGAGGTACGTGGATGACTGTTTTTGCATAATAAAGAAGGCAGCAGTAGACAGCTTCCCCGAACATCTAAACTCCATCGACCAAGCGATACAGTTCACGGTGGAACGAGAGCGAGACGGGGCGCTTCCGTTTCTCGATGTTTTAGTCAGACGACAGGGCGAGCGCATGTCCTTTTCGGTGTATAGAAAGCCAACTCACACCGGCAGGTATTTGCATTTTTCGTCCTGTCATCCAACTGCCCACAAAGCTTCAGTGGTTTCGGCACTCCTCTCACGTGCACGAGTAATCTGCACGTCGGAAGGTGAGAGGAAGAAAGAAGAAAAGAGGATTGTCGCCGAGCTACGAAGGAATGGCTACACAGAAGCGTTCATCCGCCGGGCGTCACGCCGTTTGTCGAGACGACAACCACCGCACCGCGGAAAGACACCTGCAAGCGACACACCGCCCGACCCCCTTTCCACCCTGGCCACACCACCGCACACGAGAGAAACGAAGTCGCCAAACAACCGCGTCGCCATTCCATATGTGCCGGGCATAAGTGAACAGCTCTCGAGAGTCCTAGGAAAAGCCGGGGTCACGGTAATCCATAAACCTGTTTCGACGCTCACTCGCTTGCTACCGCGGCCGAAAGACCGACCTCCGAGGGAGCTACACCCGGGCGTTGTCTACAAAGTGTCGTGTTCTGGGTGTCCAGCCTGCTACATAGGCGAGAGCAAGTGTTTCCCGGAAAGAATGCGCCAACACAAGAACGACGTCAGGAAGATGGAAGTGCAACGTAGCGCTCTGGCGGAGCACTGCGAGAAGCACGACCATAAAATTGACTTAGACGGCGCTTCTGTTATTGAAACAGAACGGAATTTGGGAAAGAGGCTCTTGCTCGAGTCTTGGCACATTCAGCATACGCCTGCCAACGTGAACCGCTCGCTGGGAACAATGCCTTCGGTGTACGTTCACGGTCTCCGAAACGTGGTGGAAAGGGAAAGCCGGAGCCGTGGTGAGAGAACACGACGCGACGACACTTCCATGACCAAGACAGTCACCCCCTGAGGAAGGGACCGAGTCGGTCCCGAAACGTCGGGCTCTTTTTGAACTGTGGCTGGAGCAATTTCAATTTTCTAAAGTAGGATTCAGCATTTTTTTATGACGTTGGATTTTACAAAGTGTTCAATAGGTAGACGGTGGTCATTCAAGTGCAATGAAGAGCTGTGTATCACTAGCTCAAAACTGGCTAACGGACAGTTAGGCACTTTAACTAATACGTAATGGCTGTGTTAGTTTTACAGCAATATTTACACTGAGTGTGTTATTAAACAGATGTATTTAAATTCACCATATTTCACTTGAATACCACTAAGCCTTGGTGTCCTAAGGACGTAGTGCCATTTTTCTTGTACACTAATGAGAAGCTCAGAAAAATAAAATATTTTCGTGTGTTTCAGGTTGTAGTAGCTCCAAATCAACGAGAAACAAAAATATTTGCCGGTTAAAAAATTAAGGCTGAAAGGGTTAAATAACGTCATATGCTTTGCATGTCGGAACTACACCAAACCAGTCACAAGCACTCTTTTTTTTTTCTTAGAGTGTACTGCTAGCAAAGTAAAAGAAAACTAAGATGAAGAAGTGGAAAGAGGGGGTGCGTTCTCGTTCATGAAGATGATAATTTACTATCTGCGACCAACGGCAGATCTCGAGCACGATAGCTCGACTGGAATAAAAAAATAATTTCAAAAGTCACACCACATCTACGAAGTGAATATAATGATGAGGGAGCTTGATCCAGAGGCCAAATCTGGCAAACCGTCCATCCTCCGTACATCTTCCATACAAAGGCGTGCCCTATAAGAGGCAGCGAAGGTTCTGGATGCGTCGTTTGCTTAGCGCACCCTGTTATGCAAAAAGAGAGGCGTGCATCGCGTTCCATTCTGACCCTGTCATTTGCTCCAAAGGGAGCGTGCCTACGACGGCGGGATGAACGGACAAGGCTCGAGCATGATGAGCAAGCTCTTAAAAGGGACAGGCTCTGTCAGTTTATGAGTGGAACACACAATCAGATCCAACACAAAGTTTAACGAATGTCCTGTCGCTTATACCTGTTCCCCGTGTGATCCATTTGACGTGGGAACTGGCTCCCTTGATGTTTGGCGACAGCACATCAACGTAGACGACCGCCGCCTGGGAATTAATCAGCGATGATATCGTGCTGCACGAAAAAAAAAATGGTTCATTCAGTCACTCTGACTCGAAAAAAAACGAGGCTGTAAAACAAAATGAATAATACCGATATTTTACAATCCGAAATGACGTGGTAGTCTTAATGTAAATCTACTAACGTTAGAAACAGTATTTATATTTGCATAAAACGTTGTTTATGAGATTAAAGGTTCCACTTGGTTTACTCAGTGGCGACATTTTTGTTTAGCGGTAGGAACATTTACAGCAAAGCCTTTTTTAATTCAAATCATTATTGAGAGGTCTTGATGCCTCCATAGTGGTGTTGGCTAGTCTTTCTTACTTTACACAAAATATATGTAGTAAGAAATAGTAATCGGGCACTAAATTTTATACAGTCAAACAAAATATGTGCAAATCCAGTACAATATTGCACCAGATGGAAGCTCATAAGGATAAAATAAGATCGTATGTACGCAACTTCTGAACCACAAGTTCAAATAGCTAAAATGAATTCACATGTATACGCCTCACTGTAATATTTTGTGTATCTTGGCACACACCGCAGTAAAATATACAAATACAAGTAATTACACATAAAATAAAACATACCATCACAATGCTACACATATGTCTTTAGCCTATTAGGATGAACGCAACAATACCGGGTGAGTTGATATTTCATAAAGTGTTTAAGACTTCGAGAAACTTCGCGAAAATGACAAGAGCTCTTTTCGGAAGAGCCGTAGTTGGACATAAACTGAGTATTTTGCTTACGTTGAATGGTCGTCTTAGAAGAGAAACAAACTTGCCCGCAACTTGGTTTACTGTAGAAAACTAGTACAGCAGTCAACATGGTGGTTGTTGTATTTTGGAAACACTAACACGCCGTCATCCTCTTCGTTGCAATACAGCAAAGCCTTAATACCGCTACATTGACCTCCGGCAGCAAAAGCACCAACCCGGCGCTTGTTAGCAGGTTTTTGACAAAAAGTGTGGTTTCAGGCTAGTGACGTGGACTATTGTGGAGGGCATCGAAGGGTTAAAAGAACTATATATTATAAGTAGCATCAGGTACCTGCCGTAGCACACGGTAAGGTCCAAAATGACATGATGGCGTTTACAGGAGGTCAAGGTCGCCCGGAATAAAGCGGAGATTCCAGTGGTGACCGTCATAACTACGTTTCTGATGAAGCTGCCAGTAGAAAGGCATCGATGGGCGATCTGATGGGCCTTCTCGGTTGTGCTGATAGAATGGTGAGCATATGATTTGGCAGGCGGGCAGGCTTGGGCACAAGCGCGTCGAATGGCAATGTCGGTTCTCTTCCATACAAAAGGTAAAAGGCAGAATATCCAGCAGTGTTGTGGCACGAGCTTTTGTAATTGAAATCGACATTAAGTTACGCGGTTCATGATTTTTTTATACTTGAGGAGAAAATAACATTCACATCGTCAGGGTGAATGTTATTTCCGAAAAAGCACACGGGACAGGAGGCACGATTTTCTCTTTACAGGAAGTGTCGCGTAGATACCGTACCTAGCCGCAGGCGGTGAACAAATTTTTCGAATTCGCTATTTTTGCTGATATCCGATGTAACGGATATTTTTATGCGAGTATAATAAATATAAGTTCGCACTTTATTATAGTTGACCAAACCATTTGTCTTTGGTTGGATTACAGGATATCCGGGGAGCAATTCATTGCATGATAATTGTCGCGCGATTGTCTCCGCCATAGTGTGAGGCCGATTTGCAGCTGCATCTCCAGCAGTGTTTCTTCATACAGGAAGTTCATAATGGATCGCTGCTTGCACCTAGCACGTATACAGAAAACAACAGCTTTAGGCGTTTCGCCATTGGCTGCTGCGCTGGCACATCTGTTTCAGCTGCTGCTCGTCGTTGTGTCGCGGTGAAACAAAACCCTCTGCAAGACTATGGGGAAAGCCGACCCATAGAACTCAACTGTGAGGAAATCTCTAGCTTTGCGAAAATTGCACACTAAACAACACAGGCGTGAGGATTCAGGGGGGAGGGGGGTGAAGGTTTGTCATGGTGCTGCCCTCTCTATTAAATTTATGTATGGCACAGACTTTGTGCCCCCCTCCGTGTTATGGGGAGGGGCCTGCCCTCCAGTGCGCCCACCTATACCCAAAACTGACTCGCCACGCGTTCTAGAAGCTGCACAACATGCTGGCGACGCTATAAAGAAGCTGTAACGCCGACGCCACCAAAGAACAATTTTCTAAAAGTTGCCGAAATTAGCAATACATTTTACGCGCAGGACATCCAAATGAAATTTCGCGTCCGTCGGCTTCATTGGTCACACACTATCACCGAGTAGAATTATTTTTCATTTTCCTGCTTACATTTCCTAACAGCGTCATACTCAAGAGACAGACAAAATTTTAATGCGTGAGTTTTGTATTTTGGGCAGTTCACAGAAAACCCCAAATTGCACTTGTAATAATTGTGTCTCTTACGGATAACCTAACTTGGCAAATCTTGTTCATAAACAAGCACAGCTTCAGCGATTATCATTCAATATTTAAAATTAGGTCACGAGCGCCACTGCTGAGTTCATATTTTTTTTCCAAAAGTGATACATTATTTAGACAGCTTCAAATGATGCGCTTAGAGAAGCGCAATATTGTACTTATTACCTAGTTATAGAAACGAAAGTTGATATTTGTGTTTTAAAGCCCTTATCCAACTTACAATAACGCTTATAAACTTTTATTATAACCTTCTTTATCACGCACAAAACACAGAACAAGAAACAGACAGACGAGCATTTCTTTGTTCTGTGTTTTGTGCGCGCTGAAGAAAGCTGTAATATGCATACATACCTATTCGTCCAGCTGTCAGTTTTACTGCGATACGTTTACAAGCCCGTTGACTACTTGTGCCATAGCAAGGTTCGGAAGCCGCGAGGTTCGGAAACCGAACAAAGATCGTTTGTGCAGGATATTTCAACGTACATGAGATCGCATGTCCTGCGTATCGAAATCGATAATGTTGCATAGCGCACCTGGGCTACCGTGTACGAAACGTGTGCTAGAAGACATGCCGAGCACAATTATAAAAAGAGTAAAAGGAACTCAATGACGCTACTCCCGCGAAATGTCTCAAAAGCGTTGTGTTCCTTGTTGGCACCTGATTAACTGGCTGATTCCCAAGATTTTTCCACGCGTTCTGTTAACGCTCGCACTCTCGTACGTCTCGCTTATTTCCCGTTTCTCGATTTCGCGCGAGGCGTGGATATTCGCGGCTGACTCGACGTAAACCCTGTCCCCAATATTGTAGGTCACAGCTGGCCGTAGGTGACGGCAAGCAAAAACAAAAGCCACTTTGACAGTTCAAGGAAATAAAGGTAAATATGCATTAAGGCAAGAACGTTAAAAGCTGACCAGTGCCAAGAGCAGTGACGAAAAAAATCACGTTAGGACGTCACCAATGACGTCATTCAGCTGCCACAGAACGGCAGAACTTTGTGACATCATCATGACGTCACTATAAGGTAATTGTGACGTCGCAGAGTTTCATCACGTGACATCACCAATCATTCATAGGTGGGCAGGTCGGTTGCCGCAGTGAGGTAGCTGATACGGTGCTTGGCTGGTAACCAGCAGGTCGCGGGATTCTAGCCGGCCGTGGCGGTAGCATTTCAACGGAGGCAAACAGGTATACGGACCCGTGTATGTGCCATGTCAGGGCACATTAGGAAACACCAGGCGGTCAAAGTTGCTGGAGTCCTCTCCTAATCATATCGTAGTTTTGGAACATAAAACCCGGCGAGTCACCTATGGTCCTCAAGGACCAATAAGTACAATAGACCAAAAAAAAGGGGGGGGGGGATAAAGGTGGTCATTGCTTTGGAGTCACTGGAGGTGAATGTATAATAATAGGTCTTGCGATTGTTCTTCTTTATTGCGAAGTGAATACGCAAGTAAATATTAGCAGAAGCGAAACATTGAGATACTCTCTGATCGATAGCTTCTAACGCTTTCCTGATGTGGATAACGCAGGGAAAATTCTCGTGGCTGGCTTGACTTAACTGTGGTCATAGAATAACTGCTTAGTTACTAATGGAGCTGTCTTTTATTTTATCCGTCTTTCTGAAGCGCACACGCTGTGGCTGCAAAGATGGTAAAAACGGCCTGCGATGCTTGCGCAAAAGGGTTATGGGGCGATTGGCAGTAGAGAACACATTTTTTTTTAATTTTACTAGTGTCCTTACACTCAGTATATATTGCGACGCACACACCATCTGCCTAACTGCCAAGTAAATTAAAAATCGCCTTTCTGTTATTTAACTGCATACGGCACATACGTGGTAAATGTTTTTTTTTTTTAGTTGATGTAATCTTCTCTTGCTTTGAAAATGCTGAGTACCGTATAGAGAGAATATTGTAGTGCGCCGTTTTTGTTGACGTGAGCGTGGATGAGGTGTTTCTGTTAGCAGGTGGCAAAGCCCCACTTTCGCTCGGTTAATGATCTGAATAAAGAATTTAAAATGAGAAAAATCGTCTGTTACGTCAGGAAGTTAGCGGAAAATCTGAAAACGCAACTTCATGAATATTTTTATAATTTTTTGTTCGTTACTTTTATCTCCAACATTTATAGCTAGAAATTGAATGTTGCAAGAATAAAAAATGAGCAATGTTTGCACCAACTTCACAGAAGTTAGGTACTGAAAATTCAGCTGTTCTCACTGCGGTATACCATAAAAATTATTCAATAAAATCGGGATTTTTATATGTGAACAGTGAGAGGGGGGGATGTTCTCAAAAGGACACTAAAGAGCAGCAGTGACTTGGTTTAGATTGGCAAACTGCACTCCGAGAACTATATCTCTATATGTTTAGAGGACATGGGCAGGTCAAACTAGTAACTTTAGCCCGCAGACACGTGCTATAAAAATGTAATTAAACCTACATACACTGCTGTACATTAGCATTTAAATCGTAAATGACTAGCCTTCATAACCGAAAAGAGTTACTAATTATCAATATTCTACACTCTCATTCAAGAGGCATGAATTCATGAAGTCAAGTGAACTGCTTTTACAAATAAGGATAGAGAACTAGAAAATGATTAAAAAAAAACACTGAGTAACCACAGTTATGTAGACATGAGAGGTAACCTTGTTGTCTAACTGGACTGCGCAGTTTTTGAAGGTATAACTAGTTTTCATTGTGTTGCATATGAATATATTATGCTGTGTTTCTAAACTTTAAACGAAATGTTCAGAATTCTGTTAAGTCGTCTGCAGAGTAGAAAGCAGGATGTTTTATTTTGGTTGAACTTTCTTGCTTGGAGCCATTTGCATCTCCCTCGGTTTCTATGATACTGGTATAACAGAAAACATTCAATAATATGAAGAGACTCTGACTGAAAAGGATCATGTTGTTAGGGACAGGAAAATCAAGAGGTAAAAATCCACATTTACCGCCATGTACACGAGTGGCCTGACTCACACAGCCATACTCACACATCCAACAGCCTTAGATACACGTGCTGAAATACGCCCCAAAAGTCAACGAGTAAAAATCAGCCGTCACAGCACAATGAAAGTGCATCGCATGTGTAGCGCGAAGATTGTGGTGCTTGGTTACCACCAAAGTCTTTTCATTTCACTGTGAAGAAACTAGGCGAAATTTGTATTTCCTCAATCCCGCACACATTCACGCCGCCCGTGGTGTTTGTCCTTGTGTTTATGCTTGCGTGACTGCATGCGTGAATCAGGAAACATCACGTTGCACTAGGTTCTTTCAAACACCAATTAACATGTAGCCAAAAGCAGGTTATGATGAGCTATGTTTCATCCTTCATTGGCATTTATTTTAAGTGTTACGCTTTGAGTAACGCCACCAATAACGTCCTCAAAACTTTTTCTGTGCCCCACTGTGGTGGTCTAGTGGCTAAGGTACTCAGCTGTTGACCCGCAGGTCGCGGGATCAAATCCCGGCTGCGGCGACTGCATTTCCGATAGAGGCGTAAATATTGTAGGCGCGTGTTTTGAGGTTTGGGTGCACGTTAAAGATCCCCAGGTGGTCGATATTTCCGGAGCCCTCCACTACGGCGTCTCTCATAATCATATGGTGGTTTTCGGACGTCAATCTCCAAATATCAATCAATAAATCAAAAAATTTCTCTGTCTTCTTTATCAATTGCCTTCGTGTCACCTCAAAAGGGAAGGAGCACAGGTGCAAACACAGATAACCATAAATCTCGTTTTATAGTTTTTATAACTTCTTACCTTGTAGCGGCGCTTACAACAGCAGCAAGGAAAATCCCAGTGAATCCTGGAATCTGAACCAGGAAGGCCTTCACGTAATACGGCAATATCTGTTGGGAAGCATGTATTCATGATGAGTGCAAAAAAAACCCGAATTCGAAACCGATAGAATGACGTTTTCATCAGTTTACATGCTTATTGGATAACCATGACAGGCATAGTTTGGCCTTGTTTGACGATATTGTAAAACAATAGATATTGCCACATGACATTAAAGGTGTAGTTTCAACAGAGCTGCATTTGCAATAATTGGTTGTTCAGTAAAGGCAAGGTGCTGCTTAAATATGGGAGATTAAGCCGTGTTGCTCGTCGCAAATATTTAAGGTGCGTGTACGTAAACTCTACGTTACTATCATCTAGAAACTGCAATGAAGGCCTCAAGTCGCATTATTTCTATTCAATATTCTTGAGGACGTTATAAGCAAATGGCAGGGATTCTTAAAAAGAACAAAATCTGCGAATACGTTGATCCATCGGGACACTTCTTCAAGCATTGAGAGGTTGTAAGAGCCACAAAATATTGATAAGAATGTTGTAATACTTCAAGGAAAACATGGTTCTCATAATATTCTGGCGAAAAAGATCATCAGAACGCAGCGCTTACGGTATCGCAAAACCGTGGCAGTTGACTTGGTGATTCGCGAATGTTAGTTGTAAATACTGAAAGCTGCGTCATACAATTATTTTTGATAACGTTATCACATATTCTGGATCGACAATGTTATGAAGTTTGACAAAATTAGCGTGAACAGAGCCCCATAAAAAATTGTTTAAGCACAAGACGTAGAGAAATATAAGGAGAACCTGTGTGTATCTTCACACTTATTTGTAAAGTTCATGGGTGGACACACGTAAGTGCTTGAATCAAAAGAGACACTTTCGTAAACTTCCCACACATGTGTAAAACACTGGCTTTTTTCGTATATAGCCAAAAAAAACAATGTAGTGTGTGTGCCCTATTAACTCGGTCATGGCGGGTTTAGAAAGTCTTTTTTTTTTTGTACAAACGTTCGGTGTTTGTGAAACAAGTGTTGTGTAAGAAGAATAAGTGACAAATGTCAAGGAAACGCGTCGTTTTCAAGTCCGCTTTGTCGGCTTACGTTGTATCACATAACTTTTGCGGAAGCCTGGCAACGCGTACGAAGTTTCTTCGATGAGGAAAATTTACTATTTGTTACTCGAATAAAAAACGGTATTGTGTACGGATAATTCATTACCAAAGCTGCAACCTATGTTGAAGGACACTTTGAATACTTCTGCGCCTTCTGCGAAAGCTTGTAGACATCTGACTGACTATGCTATGTTTTTGTTTTTATACTCACTCAGCAGTCACGTGACTGGTGAGTCAGGGTAAGGAGGAGAGACCACAGTGGTGGCGGTGCAACTGTTGATATATGCGCCACTGTGCCATCACGTGATTACTGAAACAGTCTGAGGAGGAAGGCAACAGCTGGCACTGTTCCAGGGCATGAACATACGGATGGGCGGTCACCACGAGTATGAGGCATTAAATGCTTTTGCCTTAATACTACACTCTGTATCACAGTATAGTTGTTACAAACACTGGCTTGCCTGATCATAGTTCTGGATAGCTCCGGACAACTTCGGGTCACATCCCCAGAACCAAACTATCAAAGCCACAGTGACAGATAGGTTGACGAGGTAAACGCCGACGAGCATAAACGATCCCATCAAGACGGTCCTGCAAGTGAAATCCAAACAAAACATCTGTTTTTATTCACTGCTCTGAATCCATTGATAGCGCCAGTCTGAAAACGTTGCCGACATGACACAATGCCAGAAATACAACCTCAATGAATTCTACGTTGTTTGTCAGCAAAACGATGACAAACAATGTCAGCGAAACCATGACATTTTTTTCGCGCATTTACTTTCCGTCAATTTCTAGCGCCTGACCTCACTGACAATATTGTGATGATGGGACACTTATGCAGAAAATATTTGTTGGTTTTGTTTTGATGTTTTTCACGCACGCGAGAAATGACTTCTAGAGCTCAGCTAATAAATATTATAGTCTGGACTGAACATTGGTTAAACAGTAGATAAAAAAAACACGAAACGCAGTAGGCACAAATGCTAGTACGCGATGCCCAACTTATTCAGGTTTCAACATAATCGCTTCACTTAGGTTATCTGTCTGCAGGTACAACACAAATTTTTCAGTTTCAGAGGTACGCTAAATCTTTTACGTTGTTCAGCTTGTACGTACCTCTGAGCGCCGCCAAGGGTTCGTGAGGCCATACACCTCTGAACAACGACCTGGTCCAGACCAACTCGGTAAATGGCAGCCGTCGCAGACGCTACAAGGGCTGACCAAATGTTCTCGTCGTGCGTGATGTCCAGCGTAACGCTGAAAAAAAATACAGAAACATTAGACGGTAGTTACGCAATATCTAACTGCCGATCAAGTTCGGAAGAAGCGCAATTCAGGTGGCCTAATGTTTCGCTCAATCGTCGTGAAAGCTTGAAGGAACAGTGAAGAGCAAAATGATTTTTTCTTGTGTTCATACACTACTCTATCTATATAACAAGAACGCCAAGCTCACGGTGAGAAGACACGCAAAAATAAAATGTTTGTGGCGACGCCACCCTAAAGTTTCCGCACTGTTTGCCATGACATGACATGTTTTGACGGCACCCAAGGGGGTCTATATAGCGCCTAATCCGTCAAAATTAACTACACTCTCCCCAGAGCAGATCATAGACTTTACATATCAAGTTTCAGGAAAATCTGTAGCGTAACAGGTGCAGAGGTACGTTCAATATGCCTTTAAATTAATGGTGACGCACGTGGAAATTGCGGTGCCAATTTTGAAAATGAGATCTGGAGCTAAGTTTTCTCCCTTATTCATAAATGTATGACGGTGTAATTAACGATGTTGGAGTTCTCATAGTACAATTTATCAATCCAAGCCCGTTTCGTGTTTCTCTACGGTGTCCCTTTAATTGTGATTGGTCAGACCGTTTGGGGCAGTTTTGGTTGACTTTGCATGATTAACATCACTACACGTTCCTTTCGTTCGTCTCTTGACTTTTTTTTTTACTTGGGTAGAATTTACGTTAATCACCTCGTTAAATCTTACGGAAAAAGTCAACATAACACTAATATTTCACTTTTACACTTACTTGTTTATTTATTTTTTATGCCTGGTTTTGCCTGCGTTACGCCGAGCGCAGTAGTCGTTATTTTTTTTTTTTTGTTCATGATGCTAAGTGATCACCATCAATGAACGCGAATAATAATAGAAAGAATGCTTGTTCTTACCATGAGTGTGCACGCAAAATACTACATATGGAGCACCACGACAAGCGCCGACGTTAGCGTCCGGCAGTAAATGACACCCTGCCCGTGGCCTGAAGGGCTCCTCGCTTTGTAAAAGTAAAATATCCCATTTTATTTTAAGCCTTACACTTCTGTGGCAACAGAAACAAGCGTGGCGCCACGCATTGAAAAAATACGGAGCCTAATAAACTTCAAGAAATAGGCTATTTTTTACATAGGCCCCGCCGTGGTGGTCTAGTGGCTATGATACTCGGCTGTTGACCCACAGACCACAGGATTGAATTCCAACTGCTACCGCTGCAGTTTCTAAAGAGGGGAAAATGTTGTTGGCCCGTGTGCTCAGACTTGAGGGCACGTCAAAGAGCCCCGGCTAGTCTAAATTTCCGGGGCCCTCCACTACGACGTCTCTAATATTTATATGGTGGTTTTGGGACCTTATACATCACATATGTATCTCTATCTATATTTTACATAAGAAAAAGTGAGCTCACTTCGCGATGTACGTGCTAAGATTGATTTCACGCAGTGCCATCGAGGCCCCTCTGGAACTGCCAGAGTCTATGATGATCTTCGCGATGACCGTAACGGGACCGAGTAGGATGAAGACGAGCTGCATGCAGTCGGTCCACACGACACCTCTCAGTCCGCCCTGGTTGATTCAAAACGAAATAGAACAAAGGAAACAAGAAGACGCGATAAGTAAAAGAGTCACAGCTTTTATATGCGCTTTCATAATTCCTACAAAGCAAGTAAAGTCAAATCAAGTTCCTTAAAAATGTCGCGAACAGCTAGTCTAGGGGACTGGTCAAAAGCACAAATAACTGCACACAACGTAATGTTTCTCTCACACAACTCCTTCAAACTGTCCAGATTAGGCATACGGAAACACGTCTGGTTCAAGATAATGCGGCAACAACTGCAGTGCTGGCTTTGCAGGGGGGGGGGGGGGGGGCATAAGTTATTTTTTGTGCGGGGCTAGTGAATGCATGTTTTAATAATAAAAAACGTGCAACTAACTACTGGCGCCATCTGTACGGGTCAGTAACTTCTTTGTTCAAGTGTACAATAAGCCAGATGCACGTTGAGCCATGAAAGAACATGCAGTTATTAGTTTCAGCAATGTGATTCACTATTCGCAACAATTGTACCAGCTAGCATCAGAATCTGTAATACCCAAATGAATTAGGTATAATGCCGGAAGCGACACTTCAAAGAAATAAAATCAACCAGAAAGATTCTGATGAAATTTCTATGACCGTAGGGAGAAGGATATCGATGTTTATGCAATCAAACAAGATTCCGAAGTGTGAAGATATGAACTTTTTAAAAAATAAATAAAACACAACAGAAACACCTACATGCTTCTGACATCTACTTCTCTTCAACTGGTGATTAAAATAATGCAAGTTAATTTTACTAAAGAATGAAATCTCGCAGCCCCTGAGCTGTACGCAAGATATTATGACTGATGTTTTGAGAATAAATGTTGCTACGACAATTTCTCGCCATGTTTATTGCGCAGCGATACTTACAAGAGCCGTGTAGAGTGTTCCGCATATTCCAATCAAGATGTTACACCAGATGAGGGGTGCTCCAAAAACTTAAAAGGAAGATAATGAAAAACAAAAAGAAACGGTTCAGTAAGGATGCGTTTTCGATGCTTCAAAGAGGCGTCTTATTAATTATTGCATTGCGCCTTCATGAACACTGTGCATAAAAGGTACTCAAGAAAAGTACTCATGGACGCTGAGCATTCGTGTCTTGGATATGAAACAAACGCGGGAAACCTAATAAAACTAGAAAAGAATGCTAGGCTTTGTGCCGGCAAAGAGCGATATGTCCCATAGTTTCGCACCAGTCGGTAATGCGTAACGACGCCATATGGGAAAAAGAAAGGCTAAGGCTGTTACTATGAACACTGACTTCATAATGGCACGAACGAACAAATATTCAGTAATAAGTCACCCCCTCTCGTTTACGGCTCCACGACCATCAATGCAATGCGCCAGTTCAGTCACATTTCATACACAGAGCCGACTTGCATGCTTTTTTTGTTGAATAGCTAAAGCTGCCTACGTGATGCGACATGGTGCAGAGTTGCGAATGCAGTCGAAAAGGCACAGCACAAACACGTACGGGAATACTTGTCTCTAACTTGCGTCACAGTCTGCTGCTAATATACCCTCATTATAATGCAAGGAAGAGTGCATGAACACAGCCGTTCACATACTTTTTGCCGTATTTGTATACTTACTTGTGGCGATGGTTAAGCTGGCGGCGAATATGGAGAGTGCGCCGATACTTTGCTGAAAATGAGAAGAGAGTGAGGATAGGGTTAGCTGTTTAGACGTTCGTAGATGTTTTAAGAAGGTAATAGGTGTATCAGAATATCTACCGATGATTGCAATACTGCACGGGGACAAAGCAGAGAATACAGGCGAGACAGGCGCTCATCAGAGGGGATTTGAGCAAAAGCATATTTCCTGTGTGTATTACCTGACACGTCACGGTGTTTTTTTTTTTCACTCCTTAAACATGAAGAAATTATAACTAGGCCAAATAGCGTGTTGATTTCGATGCTGCCTAATGCGAATTTTAAGTGCAGCTTCACGTTGGCGAAACGTTAACTGTGTTTTCGCTGTAAGCACATGTTATAGCAGTCCACCATATGTCTCATAATGCCACAGAAATTGCCAGGGCTCCAGTGCTACGCAAACCACCCTGCGCAGTGCCGGCGCCGTAAACCAAGGGAAACGTGGACAGGATCCCTTAGAACGAGCGAAGCCAGGCGCAGTGCACGTGCCAGCCCCACATGCGCACAAGCTCCGACCGAGGAGCCAGTGGCCAGTAACTATAGGTCGTGATATTTACGGACTCCGTGTTCGCTGTCTTTCGTCCTCGTTCGCTTTGTCGGTGAGATGTGATAAGCGCGTGAAGGTCTGCAGTCCTCAAATGTGCGCGGTGGTGAAAGACAAAGATGACGACACTGGCGCACATTCAAAAATGTGCCACCGTGGTTGTGGTTAGCTTGGGAGGCGTAGAAGAGAAAGACGTGCCGCGTGCAGACACGAGCCCACGATGGAGAGGAAAAGGGCGCGTGGAGTGGAGTGCCAGGCGGAAGCAGGGTGGAGGTGGTTCGCCAGCGTTATGGTCGGGGTTCATTCCAAGTGCCTGGCAAAGGTCATGAGTTGGAGTGGCCTGTTTCGCTTGACCTCAAGAGTCGACGGTCCACGGAGCCGGTGGGGAGCTACCGCAATCACCAGGTCCACTGTCGGACGTAGGCGCGAGTGCTTGGTGCTGGTCCCCTGGTCCACGCGTCCGAGAAGAAAACGGCCGACTTCGTCGGCCCTGTGTTTAGCTCTACTTGCTCTGTCGTGGATACACTTGAGCATCGCTCTGCTCTTTGCCAAATTCCTGCGGGGCCTACATTCTCTTGTCACACCTCCACTAAGTATATGAGCCCAGCATAACTTTCGAGCACTCAACGGTGAGACGCTCTCATGTTAGGACTCAGCATGGGTGTTGCTTTTAGAGGTTTTTTGTGTGTGTGTTGCATCGCGTTGTGTTTCCGTATAGCACCCTCTATGTGTGTCTATATTCGTGTGTTGTTTTCATAGAGCGCAAAAAGACAGAAAACAGCCTCACCATTTCCTTACGGACGTTGTTACCACTGACGGAATAAAGTCCGTATAATCGAAACATTTCAGGAACCTCATCACAGTCTGGTACACTGACAACTTCTGCCGACAACGACAATGCTGGTGAACGAAGCAACGGGTGCCAGTCAGTACTGTGCTTAAGTACCTAAACTTTTTTAATGCGAAGCATTTCTTAGCGAACTTCGGTGACTTTGGGCGAATTTATCTATCTATCTATCTATCTATCTATCTATCTATCTATCTATCTTTCTCTATCTATCTATCTATCTATCTATCTATCTATCTATCTATCTATCTATTTATCTATCTATCTATCTATCTATCTATCTGGCGAAAGGGCGCAAGGCGCCCTTGCGCCAGATAGATAGATAGATAGATAGATAGATAGAGAAAGTGGCGCAAGGGATATGCTTGCCCAAAAAGCGTCATGAACAATGGTGACGAAATAACAATGATTCGTGATTTACGGCGATAGGTGCAGGATGTGAACAATAATATGGTTACGAAGCTGTTAAGGAGGCCGAAAATATCACTAACAATTCGTGAGATTTTGCGTTCCAAAACCACGTTACGATGTTGAGAGAAGCAATGGGCGCCAGTCAGTACTGTGCGAAAGTACCTAAACTTTTTTTCTATCTATCTATCTATCTATCTATCTATCTATCTATCTATCTATCTATCTATCTATCTATCTATCTATCTATCTGTCTGTCTGTCTATCTATCTATCTATCTATCTATCTATCTATCTATCTATCTATTCGAGGGCTCTAGAAATTTCGTATACCTGTGGTTCTTAACGGGCTTCTTTAATTTAGGCCCACAGGTCTCTTGCATTTTGCCAGCGTTGAAATGAGGCCACTGATTCAGGGATGCAATCTTGCTACCATCAAATTAACAAAGAAAACAAAAGGTTGCTATCATATAATTCAGTGAGATCACAAGCGTACATTTTTTGTACCAATTGCACTTCATATATTAAAAACGAGAATAGTTCATTCCTTTCTTTATCGCAAGGAGATGTATAAAATTTACGTTATGAATCAATTGAATTCACTAAAATTTCCTTGTATTCATGTCTGTGCCACTATTCTTTAAGAAAAGAGGCACAAACGGCCATAACGTTTTCCGGAGTCACCACTACTTCAGCATTTCTTTCGTTCCCGATTGTAACCAGCCATAGATAATCGTTATTCTTTGTCACTTCTTTTTTCCTGTAGCCTCGTTTAAACCCAGCTTGTGTCGCCTGAAATTCAGTGCGTGGAAATATTAAAAACTGGATCACGAGCTACACACATTGGTGTCATATTGCCATCCGCTTGCATGTATTCCAACAGCTGCTGCTCGTGCACCATTGCTTCAGCTGGCCAAATGCGCGTCGACATCACATCTTCTGTATGCAGCATGTGTTTGTTCCTTTTTTGCTAGCTTTCAATAAACATTAGAACACAGTCACCCTCCGATCGTTTGCGCACACATACTACAAATCCAGGTGGACACAGTCTTCCGCAATCAAAATGACGGTAAAGAGACCTCTTAGTTGTTATTAGCCTAGTATATGAACTTCGGGGCATGCAGTTTTATTTAGTTATAAAGTTGTAGTGCGTGCCGATTGATGGCCTACCTACTTTTTGAAATTGTTGTGGCGTGAAAGAATACGCATTATTATTATTGTTATTTTTTTACAGAAAAATGTTATGAAGGCAGCGACTAAATACTGCATTCTCGTTGTTTGGGGAATTTCTGGACGCCTTTGAAGCAACACTTTTTATTTTTGAAGTCTAAACTTCGTTTCACCCTTTGTGTTATACATGCCATCTTTAATTCAATCCTTATATACCACACTTTGCCATGAAAAATTCAATAAACTTGGCGGCACGTTGCCATGTTTTCTACAAGTGAGGCAGGTGTTATACACCTGCGGCTTTACATTCTCGCTGTTGTACCTACACTCCACCCGCATATCAGTCATTACCCTCGAGTGCCCGGCTTACGATTTGCCCCCATTTTCTTTCATCAAAATTTTTTATATGATAGCTAAAAAACGAAACAAAAGACATCAGGTGGTCTGAAATGAAGTAGTCTTGTTTTATTATTGTGGCATAATTAGACTCATATTACCAGTGTACGCGCTGTGGTGGTTCCCTGCTAATGCACTCCACTGCTGACCCGCGCGCCGAATTTCGCAGAAACCCAGCTGGCCGGAATTTCCGGAGCCCTCGACTACTGCACGTCTCATAATCATATCGTGTTTTTGAGGTGTTAATTATTTATTGCGCATAGGCATATATATATGGATATTGTATGAAGAAAAAATTGAAGAAAATATTTGTGGTATAAATGAGATAATAGAAAGCAAACAGTGGTCTGGTTACTATAAACTTGGCTCTTTAGGAGATGAGATATACAGGAGACAAGATTCCCAAAAGGACCTGCTTTTGGCTGAGTTGGTGCATACAACGGGTAGAGCCGAAGCTGTTCGTTCTTATCTTCTACTCTTCCTGTTTTACGAAATGTTTTTTGCACCTCAGTCATCTGCACCAAGTGCAGGAGACAGTTTTTGTTGTCACGCAGAAGTCACAAGTGAGTTGTCAGTGTGACATTTTTTATAGAAGCTTCCCATCATAGTCTGAAAGGTCTTGTGAATGGATTCTCGTGTAATATCCTCGGTGAGCGCCTTTCCACGCATTCCTCAAGCAAAACTCTAGCTCGACCTGAAGCAAGCTGGTTGATTTTCTACGAATTTCTAGAATCAGCTTGAGCATTAGAGGTTCGTGGTGCGAACGCAGGTTAGAATAAATTCGCTGTGTTCATATACGCAGAAAATATGTATAATACGTTTTGGGCAGACGTAAAGTTTTTTCGGCTGAGTTTGTTAACTTAAGCTCCCATAGTTGTCACCATTAACATTACCACCACTTATTTTCTCATAAAGCCTCAAAGCCATCTCTCTGTGTATTACATAAGGGGAGCAGGCTTCATAGAGAGTGAAAATATATTTGTCATATCCCAATAATAAAGGTATATATCAACAAAACGCGACAGAAGCTTCTTTAGAAGCTCAATAAGAAAATACGAATGGAACGAGGCATAAAAAAAGGGGGGAAACGAGAACAGTGTAAGTTGTAATGAATGTTGCAGGGTGAGGTGATCAGGGATCAACGGCTTAAACACAACAGGGCTACGCTCAAAGACAATACTGCCTGGTAAAATGTTCTATTCTGCAAAGGCAAAAGTAAAAAATATTTAGTAGGAGAAGACCGTGCAACCGCTGGATGCTGCAAGAGCTAAAAAAGCGACGAGATGTTTGGTTTGGCAGGCAAGTTAAGGAGATTACCATGAAGTTGAGGGAAGTTATAGGAAAGCTGATGGGACAAGCACAGTTTTGCAATCTTTCAACGGAACGACAATTACTCGAGTCCCAGCGATGACTTTATGGCACTCGTCTCTTCAACACGGCCCCACCTATAAAAGCGATGAATCTGGCCGCATGGCGCTGCATAGACTCTGAAGCATTAAGGAGTTATGCTTGATGAATTCTATAAATAGCTGAGCGATATTCAAGCTTACTTCCAATAAATACTTCGTAAGCCTGCTTTCGCGTGGATGGGGTGCTGGTTTGTCCTCGTGGGTTGAATTGCCAGCGTGCGAACCTCTGCAAAATCTTTCATACAATGCAACTGCTTTAACACAATGTTAAATGAACCATTTGGAGGTATTAAAAGCAGGCTTGTTAGTGAGCTCTGCAGATGCTTGCCTTGCAAACTACTCCGGGTGGGTATGACGAAACATGGTTGTGACTTAGCAGGCTTGTGTGCCGCGTGCATAACGGCACGAAAAAGACACCGTTTATAGTCATCCACACCTAACAAATGACCATAAACGTGTCTCATTGAAATTATCTGTTTGCCTCTATCGCAGAGCTAAGTAGTCTTACTGGTATATATTTTGTGCTGATTTACAAGTACAACTCCATCTAAAGCGAATGTATGAGCTTGTTAGAGTGCCTATAGAGCCATAATTTAAGCCTGCGGTACGAGCAGGCCCAACGTACACGTGTGCAGACGGATGCTCACACAGATCGTGCACATATAAAACATACATACACACAGTGTCCTTGTTGTTCCATTGCTGTTCATGGTTTTATTGCTTAATTGGTAAGCATGACTTGGAAAGTAGGCGCCACGTATCGAGCTGACGTTAGGTGGCCTTCAATTTACCTATGAGCAATCTTCGGTTGTGGCAAAAAGTAAGCTGTCTTTCACTTGCCATTCATTTTCCTAACGTCTGATTGGTGACAGAATTAGATTTTTGTGTCACGACGCTCCGATTTGTGAGGTCTTGTCCACAGTGAAAGCAAGACAGAGCTATACGGACCAAGCAGTGACATTGCCGATATGTGTCGAGATCAGAACAGCCAGTGTACCGTCCAGCTTCCCACAATATCTTGTCATAATTGGCGTGGTACAGGTAAAAAACAAGCATGTGAAATGGAACACGAAGCAGCTGATGGATGTTGTGACATGAGACGGTTCAGTGAAATAGACTAAAACATAGATAAGGTATGAGGGAAGCTCAGTCACTCGATTGTCTGCTCCTACTAAATAAAAACGAACGAAGTTGACAGATAAGGACACTCTGAACAGTCGGGGGCGTTTTGCAGACCTGACATCATGAGTATCAAGCCGCGTTTCGAAGAACAACTTGTCCTCTTGACGGGTGCTTGACAGGTGCTCGAAGGATGTATCTGCTATCTAGGTAGGTTTCATTTTTTTTTGAGCCCTTGGAGACATAATTTATAGCACGACACGTGCGCTCATGAGCATGGTCATTGCATGGTCAGACGCATGGTCTTGTTGATATTATTGTTTTCAGTAAACAATAACGGTGGAATAGCGTCCAAAAATACCTGGATAAACCTTCACTTTGTGCCTGTTCTCTCTTTGGGCGTATAGCCAGTCCTTGGATGAAGAGATCTTTAAGCAAAGAATATTTTCTTCTTTACCGAGGCAAGCTTCCTAGCCGACCTACATTACCGAGGAGTCCGCAGCGATGGAACTGTGGTTATGTTGCTCAGCACCTGACCCGAACGTCACGCCTTCAAACGCCACCGCGGTGACCACATTGCAATGGGCGCGAATTCCCAGGGCTCGTGCACTGTGCGACGGCAATGCACGCTAAAGCACACAAGATTATTGGGGGCGAAGCTCCTTAAGGCGCGGGCTGTGCGTCCCCTGTATGCAGCCACCTCTCGTTTAGTTCTTGCAGTGTCCACTAGATGACGGTACCGTCTCTCGTATGTCGCCTCCTCTCGTTTAGTTCTTGCAGTGTTCACTAGATGGCGGCACCGTCTCCTGCATGTAGCCACCTCTCGTTTAGTTCTTTCAGTGCTCACTAGATGGCGGGACCTGTAGCTGATGATGAAAAGATGCAAGATGTAATAAACTAGACGGTGGTACTTGTAGTTGATGATGAAAGATGCGAGATGTTATAAAATAGGAATGATGTCACATATGGCACGTGTCATTGGTGGAAGGCAATCGTTCGATTTAGTGCGGCGACGTACGCTAGGGGGAGCATTGTAATAAAATCGAGTAGGCAAAATGTACGGAAGATTCATGGTTTACCAGGTTTTCCTCCAGAGCTTCGCCCACTCATCATCATTCACTTCGTGGATATGGCGGCACTTTTTTGAATTTTCGGAGCACTCTACTACAGCGCCTCTCATAGTCAAGTCGTGGTTTAGTAGCATAGAACTTGATATTCTACTATCACATTATTGAAGAGCACACGCTACTGTTGGTAATATTGTTCGCGAGATCCCTGCATTCGTTATTAAGGCAAACGTTAGAGCTAATTTCATGGAAACAACGTTGTCACGGTCTTTGGCCATCAAATGGCCCCTGCGCCACAAAGCACCAAACATCGTCATCATCATCATCTACATTGTCAAAGGTTAAGACACCAAGGAACAAAGTCAGTATCATAAGTCGTGACCCACCTACGCACGCAGACAGCTGGGCAGACATGCATCTAGATAGAAATTTAGCTTAGATGTTATCCTTTTATTGAACCAGCCCTAAATCAAAGCGCCGATATTTTGTTGTAATGCTTTTTGTCACAAGAAAGTGAAGATTAGCATAGCGCAGAACTGCTGAGAAAGCCCTTGATGTATAAATACTAAGTATAAAGATACAATATTCAAGTTAGTAAACCATATATTAACAAAATATTTGCTTACCGTCAAGAACAAGTACATTCCACAAGTTGTTAACGAAATTGCTGAGTTGAACCGCAGACGGACGTACTGAAAAACAGAGAAAATGCATTTGTGTTACGAATCCGTTAGACATACACATATAATAAGCGCTCGCTCACACAGCATCCGTCAGAATGGCACAATAACAAAGAACCGTGGGTTGGAAATGAATTTTGTTTCTGTGGGAGTTTGGGCACTATGAATTGTAAGTGTACTTACCGATATATATATATATATATATATATATATATATATATATATATATATATATATATATATATATATATATATATATATATATATATATATATATATATATATATATATATATATATATATATATATATATATATATATATATGTGTGTGTGTGTGTGTGTGTGTGTGTGTGTCGTAGATGGAAAATATTCATCACGGATTGGCAAGCACTCGATCAACATCACATCACTGAGTGCAGATAGTTAAAAAAATAAGCTGGCCCCTAATCGGTGCTTGCTGCTCAAGTGTTGACTTGTTAAGTGGGCCAGTGCGGTTACTATAGGGGAATTTTCTCAATTTCTGCGGGAGAAACGCGGCGTAAGAGTTTTCTAGCACGCGTGTGCATCTGCCGTTGAAGTCCACGAGTGGAAAATGACCACGAGGCGGAGGAATGACTACTGAGAGAAGGAAAGAATAAAAATAGAGAGAGAGACGGAGAGAGACAAAGACAGAAACCCAGAGACGGAGAGAGAGAACAAGGATAATAAAGGGTAAAGAAATGGAGGAAAATTAGACATCAATGGGAAAAATGGTAGACGCCGACTAAATAAAAAAAGCGCAAGCATAGCTTTGTATACTATAGTATAGACTATTTCACCTAAGATATATTGACGCCGCCATCTTGGGTTGTCAAGCCGATGTTTTCTTGTTTTTGTATATCTCTACGTGCATAAAACAAGTCCATGAAGCATCGTGCCCACAAACCCCACAGCTTTCATGCGTGTGCATCTACCATAACACTGTTCGTTTAGTTGTTCACGATGAAAACGCACAGGTTACCCGCCCAGTACAGCAACTCAACATCATTCGTAAACTAGTCTATAACAAGGACTGGAATGGAGACAGGTGAGAGGGTAAGAGCCTGGTCAAGCCTGCTATGCTGTGGCCCAACCTCGCACCACCTATATCGAGCAGCGTATTTTTATTGTTTTATTAATTTTTTATCGTTACACTTACAACTAGCGACACTTGTGAGGTAACACGTGCTTCTCTTAAAAGATAGACGCCATTATCTCGTAAGCTTAATCTGTTTTTTTATTTGTTTTATCTCTATCTTTTTTTTTTCGTTTCCAAAACAACCTCAAAGAACATAGTATATTTTAGCAAACGATAGCATCTGCAAACGATGAAAATTTCAGAGCGCGCGCGCACAAAAAAGAAAAAAAAAACAGACAGTGTGTTCCTGTATTAAGAGGGAACGAATGAGTGAATACAATGCACAACTTGCGGGATTGGGATAATTTTTTTCCTGCTAAGCGCGGAAGTGTGCAGCTCTGCAACAGACAGCATCTGGTTTGTAACAGCTGGGAGCTTTTCGATCTCGTGTACGATGCATTGATACATACTGGCAGCACCTATTGCAGCTAACGCGACAGTCGCCTAATGCTCTGTTCTACTTAACAATTCATAGCACTAACCACAACAAGAAAAGAAGAGCACTTTACACAACACCCAAGAGAAGGAAGAAAAGAAATACAAACCAAAGTGACTCGCATAAGAGTTTTTTTTTCTTTGTTAGTTCGCACAAGACAGAGCAACAGCGTAAAAAAATTACAGTTCATTTTTCAAAGACTACGGAGAGTGAAGGCAACCGCGTAATGCCTCCACAAGTTACCCTAATGTTCTCCATTGGAAGGGCCCTGGCACAAAAATGCTGGCCTTGCGTTTCTTTGCTGGGATGCATTGCTGGTGGCCTGTTAGTCATAACGTGGTAAATCGTTTGCTGCCGCGCACGACAGATGACTTATTACAGGCACCTTATTACTGACCGTTCTCAGTTTTGGTTTGAGAAAGTTCACAAAGCTACAAGCCACTTGCTGAAACTATCACCGCGTAACGTGCGCAATGCTAGAACACGTCAGCACAAAAAAACTGTGACGCACTTCCGCTTGGTAGGCTTTAAGAAGTCCGTTTCATTGTGTGTTTTTTTAAATATACAATAGACGGAACTGTAGCGCTAGTCACTATGAGAGCTGCAATGCAGGGCACTTCAGCGAGCATGGGAACCGTGTATTTGCGTAGCCTTCGTACTTTCCGCTCCGTATGGTTTTGCGCTGCTTGCAGCTGCTTTCTCAGAAACAACAATCAATAAATGCTCAGCAGTTTCGCTTCACTACCTAAACCTTTCAGGCTTACCAATTAAAATCCACTGCCGAAGTACGAAACAGTTCGTTATTTAAAGAACTAAACAAAACGAGACCACCGCACTAAACTGAACCACAAGTGCTTTGGAAGCCCGCAGGTACGAAGACTAGGCCAATCTACAATTCCCATCGTCACTGAATGATCGCAGCCTCTAAGTTTCCGCTAGTTGACTTGGGGAAGCTCGGCGGTTCATTAACAGGAAACGAAACACCAGTGTAGCCAAACACAAATCTTTCTACACACGCGCCGCAGCCTCAGACTTGCCAGCAGCCGCCTCTTTGTAGTACGCTGAAGCAATCGCAGCGAAACGAAAGATGGCGGCTATGACCTCATCATCACTTGAATGACTGCACCATCATGACGCGAGGGAAGTAGGGGGTAATGAAGGGGTTAATTGTGAGAGGGCGGTTCTCAATTGTGCACGAACATTTTAAATTTATGTAAAATACCTTCTAAGCTATGTTTCTTGTTGATAGTTTGCAAATGATATAAACATGCTGATGGAAACCGATCAAACAGGCTATTTTGTCCATGACATTCGTATATTTACCCTTTACAAAGGAAACTAAAGTCAAATAGAAAGAAGCTAGTCACGTGTGATGTCATATAGTTATGAAATTGCATAATTACACTGCATGGCAATTTTTCACGTTGCTTCGATTTTGTGGTCTCTGCTGTGTGACGTGCATGCTCTGTTTCTTTCTTGCCATTCAACTTTGCAGCGAATTACGGCTGCGTAGGAACACCATCGCTTATATGTCTTGAATGAGGCAGATATTTAATGTTAAAGGTGCACTAAAGTAAAATAACAGTTTATGTCAGAGTGAAGGTCAATCTAGGCAACGTCTTGATTAACAATATTATCGTCCGCATTGTCGTACTTGAGCAGAACGTATTGTAAATGAACGAGAACCCATGCGCCACGAGTAGAAAATTGACAATATGACGTCAGACTTACCGCTTACAATTATTCACTAGTAAATTATCTAGCTAAACTAAATAAAGAGCCTTCCTTTCATCAAGAGACGCAATAAAATGCTGCTTGTTCTGTTCTGTTTGAACAACGTAAGGAAGAACGGCTGGACGTTATACTATTCGGAATGACGTGAGTGGTTCAAAAGTTCAATTTTCACCTAGTTAAACCAAACAGGTCATGCTATCTAGCGTAGCTGAGTTGAACCAATCACGTCTGCTATCTCGCAGGTGACGTAATGTAAGTAAGCAATTGCAGTTATGCTCAGGCCAGGTCGTCTTAGCGGAACGGCTCAGTGCTCTCTCATAGTAGAGTACCTAGTACTCTGAGTCGTTAATATTTTTTTTTCTGTACAGGTCATGGCAGGATATTGTTCAATGGTCGTTGTCGCTGCTGTAGCGCCCACTACTTTTGCTCTGCTGCTGCTAGTGTCGGCGGCTGCACAGTAAAGGCGGGCAACGTAGTGCATGGCAACAGTGACATCGATGTTTCCACTTGATTGATTGATTTGTGGGGTTTAACGTCCCAAAACCACCATATGATTATGAGAGACGCCGTAGTGGAGGGCTCCGGAAATTTTGACCACCTGGGGCTTTTTAACGCGCAACCAAATCTGAGTACACGGGCCTACAACATTTTCACCTCCATCGGAAATGCAGCCGCCACAGCCAGGATTTGATCCCGCGACCTGGGGGTCAGCAACCGAGTACCTTAGCCACTAGACCACCGTGGCGGGGCATTTTCACTTGAGGCAGCTGATTTGGTGTGTGATAACGTAATGAAGACCACTAAAACGAGATTTTCGTTCAAAATAAGCACTTCCTTGGCACAAAAGTAGCACGACAAGGTTTGTGGGCCGCTATTTTCGCAATCAACATCGACTTCACTTTTGCCTTTAGTGTACCTTTAAGGTTAAGGTGTTTGTTTCTCGAACCCATATCTTAGCCCTGCTCAAGTTTGTTGGGAGTATTGAAAAAAAAAGGGTAGGGAGGAACGTTAGATGAAACAAGAAGCCATCTTTTTAAGAAGTGAGTGCCCATAACACTGACTGGAGTACTTGATCCCGAATTCGAAAAACACGCGGCCAGCCAGGAGGCACAGTGTATCAAACCCAGTACCTCCAGCGTTTTAGGTGGTTCTTTAAAAATACGCTAAAGTGAAACAGTGAATTGATTTAGATTGATCAAATGCATCAAAATCCTTTGTGAATAATGTAGTAAATACATGGGCGTGCCTGTATGTGTTATCTGTTTATCAGTATATATATGACAACCGTCACCCCAGCACCTCAAGTAGCATGTCAGACGAAAGACAAGCATATCCAGCTCAATATAAAATATTTCTTTCTCTCTCTTTGCTACTGTTAATTAAGCCGTCATAACCTGACTGATATGACACCAAATCAAGGTCAAAGCTCCAGTTTTCAATTTCACGCTGAGACCTCCGCGCTTGACGCCACGGATTTGATAGTGGATTTGGCGAATTTTAGGCAACATCGACTCTACGATATTCGGTGAAACTTGACGTGGTAACTTGTAAGTCAATGGGCCCTTCAGAGGTTAATGTACTTCATTTTTACCGATTATAATTACGCTATAGCAGACGTTATTAGAATCTATGACCTCAGAGTGAAGTTCCCAAGTGCTCCAAAAAGAAGAATCTCACTGTGTACT